TTTCAACTTGTGTCGCATGTAACTCAAAGGATTTGACCATAGAGTCATTGAACCTTACGGGATGGTTGCTCAGCATATTTAGTTTTGCACCTGGGTTTCGCTTTTGGATTTATCCAGTATTTGTAGAATTATTTCCCTTGACTTAGTAAAACCTGTTTCATTATGTTGTTATTTGTTCCTTGAGTGCTTTAGTTAGAATCAACCAACTTTACAGGAATAATAAACATCACTAAATTATAGGAATAATGATTCACATCACTGTGAAGCTATGAACCTGGGACTTTGCATGTGGATTTTTTTCAGTTTTGTAAGAGTTATTGCCCTTGACTTACAGTAGTATAAATTTGCAATTTTCAACTTGTTCATGCATAGCTCAAAAAGTATTGTAGGCCTGAGAGTTTACAAGAATGTTGGTCAGCATGTGTACTTATGCACCTTGGGGTTTGCTTGTGGATTTATTCAGTATTTGTAAAGTTCTTGCCCTTTACTTAGTAAAAGATTTTTAGTTTTCAAAAAAAATTTGACCTAGAGTCATTAGATTGACAGAACACTGGCGCGGTGGGGGCATCCGTTTCCTATGGACACATTTCTAGTATAGAGGTAGTATAGCTTACCCTCAGTGTGCAGAGAATTATGTTTGCAAGCATTTCCAATAAAATAGAGTCATACTTGCCTACAATACCTTGTCCTTAGACTAAAGTGCTTACTGTTTACTAGTCTAAAATAGGCAGTCAAAATTCACAGCAGACACTAAGTTATACTTAATTAATCATAAAATACTAAATAATTAGTAGCGTAAATGAATTCTAAACCAAATAGATTGCATTAATTGAAAAAACAAAACAAAAAAAACTTGATGTATAGTACTGTTTTTCTGGCAAAATTTGATATTTACTGTGATTATATTCTGTCAATATTTCAGGAGAGGATTCAAGAAGGTTTTCCCTCATTGTCAGTATCTGTGGGAACCAGTGTAGTTTCTATCTTACAAAATATGGCTGGTTCCCCACCTGACTATCTTCTCATACTGGAGATTTGTGACTTCCTGTTGAACGTTCACCCAGCAGCCAACACTTACATCAACCATTCTAGATCTTTTTTCTACTTTAACCTGTCCTGGGGTCAGCCCCCATCCCCATTAACCAAGTGGAAGATCGGATTAGGTCAAGGTTTGGCCTCTAGCACACCTGTCAAGATTACCTACAATATCAAGGACAGAGGTATAATCTTTATCTTGTATGTGTTACATACGAAATATGCTATGTATACAGAATAAAGTTTCTGGTTAGAAATTATTGTCTAAAACCTACCCATTTACAAAATGTTCAGTATTTAAGGTCATCAAACTCTTATGAGAATTACAGAAATATTTTCAACTTCACTTCAAACTTTAACATTTTAACATGATAAAACATGATAAATTTCCATTTTATTGATTTTTGTTTAAATTTCTTGTAATATCCGACAGTTTACATATGTGTCTTATATATGTTTTTGATGAAAATATAGTCATATTAAACTGATGTCATACATACATTCAAATCAGTTTTCTGTGCCCAATCTTTGCATTGCTTGAGTTGTGACCTCATTAATGTTACACTTGAATACCTATTAATAAAAAATCCTTTGTTGTTCATTTACCTATTAATAAAAAGATCCTTTGTTGTTGTTTTTCCAGATTTGCTATATGCATTTTTCAGGATATGGCTTTCTATAATATTTTTCATATTTTCTATGTATTTCAGTTGTTCGCAAGATGAGAAGAAATCTGTCTGACAGTTTTATAAAAGAAGAAGAAGAAACAAAGTATCCTGAAGTTAACATATCAAAACAGCATGCCTTTACTGCATCAGATAAAATTGTTAGAAACAGTAATAATAGTGCTGAAGTTATTGCGGAACAAACTGGAAGTAATGTAGCACTTACTGATGAAAACATAGTAGACGAGGCTCATCAAGAGTTGGATATGAATGAACAAACAATTGAACATGATGTAGATGATAATAGTGAGAAAATTGTGGGAGAAGTGACAGTCAGAGATAAAGAACCTTCTGACAACGAGGAAGCATTTATATCTGCTTCAACAGATCTTCATGTATCTACTGGCATACCCGACAACTTTGAAAGTTTATATAAGACAGCTATATCCTGTGATGATAGTGATAATGTGAAATTTCTAATGAGTGAAGACAGTGTAAAGAATGAAGATAAAACTAAGAGAGATGATGATATAGAATCTGAAGATACCTCTGTAGATACAGGTCTAGGTTTGAATGTAAATAGAGGAAAAACTGGTGCTATTGTGAGACTAGAAATAGACAGAGGTGTTGGTGATGATAATGATGATGATAAGGAAGCAGATGTGAATGATGATGAAAGCATTGAAACAGAGGAAGCGTCAGTGTCAAGAGATAATCTGTCCTTGAACTTTGATGATGATAATGCTGAACTGCTCAAGTTAGAGAAAGGCTTGATAGCTGTGTGTGTTGGTAAGACATGTACCATATTATTCCAATTTTTATTGACAAGTTGTTTGATTGCATTTAATTAAATTGTCAATTTCTGAAAAAGATAATTTGTTGACAATGAAATCAGTTGTACACAGTTGAAGTTAAACATTGGTTTCCATCTTTGCCTGAAAAAAAATCTTGGAGAATACTCCAATAAGTTCATGATTATTGTGAGACTGTTCTTGATGAGAAATGAGTGTAATATTGGATCATTGATTCAAATAAAACTCTTTAAATTTTGATAACAGAAAATAAATAGTTTGTCATTTTTTAACATGATAAGATAGGAAGGCAATGACTATGTTAAGAATGTATATACATGTACATTTTGTTTATGAGATTTAGATCTTTTATGCTCAATCTTTCATTGTCAAGTTAAGCTAAATTGACTGTTTATTTCAAAAGATTGACTGTTATAATGGTAATTGACAAATGGTTGATATTGGAAAATGTTCAGGACAAAGTATTAATCTGACTAGAATATTAAACCTTTTTTTATAAATTGAGCATTACAGGTAAATTCTGATGGATATTAACACAAATTTCTTTGGGCAACATCACTTATTTATCATTCATGGGAAGTAAATCATTAAATGAAAGGAATTGTACCAAAATACAAACTTTTTTAGACTGTCACTTGTTTTCTAACTATATACCCCTGGGCAGGCATAATATCATTTTAATATATTGTTGATATGATTGTAGGATTGTTGAGACTATTAGCATCTGTGATAGTTACCATGCCTGATGGACTGGTGGAGAAAACATTCCGCAAATCTATTATTAATGCTCCAACTTTTATTGTTCTTGCTCAAAATAGTTCAGCTGAAGTGAGGGAGGCAGTTATCAAGGTAAGTACTCCATAATTGCTCAAATAATATCAAAAACGACATTTTTTGTTAATTTATTGGAAGAATAGATATTTTATAAAGCAATTTGGTTGATAATGACTCAGTTTTATGTCATAAGATTACATATATACAAATAAATCAAATAAACCTTAAAATGGGTGGTATTTTCTTTACTTTAGAAATAATTTGAGTCGCATCACGACAAAACCAATATAGTGGGTTTGCGACCAGCATGGATCCAGACCAGCCTGCGCCTCCGCACAGTCTGATCAGGATCCATGCTGTTCGCTATCAGTTTCTTTACTTGTAATAGAGTTTGTAAGCGAACAGCATGGATCCTGATCAGACTGCGCGGATGTGACGCGGCTCTATTATTATTCAATTTTAAAGCACAGGCTACAAATTTTTATAATTATGCAATGGTAATGTGTAATATTTTTTAATGTAGACAAGGTTTAGAAGTATTTTGTGCATGTCCTATCTTGTTTACAGCTGATGTCTGTGTATCTTGAGAGATGTAATCATCATAATGCTGAGGAATTTTTTAAGATGGATGGTTTCCACCTGTTATCAGCGCAGTTATTTCAGTACCCCACCCACTCAGATCAGATGGAAGCTGCAGTTTCCATAGTGATGCAGAGACCGTTTAAAATAGATGAAGGGTAATGTTTACATTAATGTCACCTTGTAACAGTGTCTATTCTAGGAGGGGGCGATGGGGGGATTCACTCATATTTTTGAGAATTCCCCCCTATTTTTTCAGAGGCAGGGGGAAAATTTTACATAGAGAAAGAAGGAAAAAGATCAACAAATGTAATAAATTCTCACTTTTCGATAAAAATCCCCCCTGTTTTTCAAGTCCTAGAAAAGACACTGTTGTAATGTATAAACTTCTATATTCTCAAACCTTTAGTTATAATTCTAGAGATGCTATTTAGAAGAAACATACAAAATGTCTTAAAAATTCCATATTTTATAGAGTAAAGTACCCATATTTCGACACCTTACGATAAAATTTCGTTACAATTTAACATTTTTATGTGTATCCTTATTTCGACACCGCACTTTACAGTATCCGACATTTTCGCGCCCTTTTCAAACACTACTTCTTAAGTAGCATCTAAGGTTTTCCATGTAATAATAGTATAAGCTTTGTCCGTTGAGGGTCCGGTATTTCGACATGGTGATCCTAAATTCGACACCCTAATTAAGGTTTAAGAAATACATTAAAAATTCAAATAATATACAAATAAAATGAATTCCAACACTATTAATAACACTTTACGAGCCAAACATGATTATGAAAGAACATTGTATTAAAAACACGATTAGTTCATCTCTTGAATTAGTAAAAATGTGCATGACTTGTGTAGATACATTTTTGAAGGTCTTGCACACATAATTTGATTGTAGAGAAAAAGGTTAATTATTAATCTTTGAAGCGGGGATTTCCAATTACATTGCGTCAGCAGTGCACATCATGTTCCACGGACAGGCTGTATAGCGGAAACAGTTCATGTTTTTTAGATTAGTTTTTAGTTTAAATCATAGGTCTTCTCTGAATACATACTCGGTAGAGTTCATACTCACCATTGATTATATCTCTAATGGCCTAAATCCAAGTAAGTCTGTCACTTTACTAAGGGAGCCGGTGTAGCGTGTAGCCTACCGGTTTTAAAATAACCAATACCGGCAAATGTTTCTTTTCTAGTTAAAATGTCTCCTAAAAGTGTTTTTCTTCCATACATAATGATCTAAGACTTTTAATCTTTACTTTATAACAGATAAGTGGGTAACATGTACTGTTACAGTCAGCATGCACTGTTTGGATTCAAACTAGTTGGTGCATTTCCACTAAGCTTTAGCTTATCAGTCAGGATGCCAAATATCATTGCTGTTTTTATCTTCTTTGATATTACACCACTTTGAACCATAAAATAGTGTTGATCAATTGGATGGTGAACATCTGCAATATTTCTTTTCATTAGCTTCACTTGACATGTGTACACAATTAGGCATAAATATGTAATTTAAACTGTAAAACACTAATATACCTATTGCTGAAGTTCATTTAAACCAAATACATTGTATACCTGCTTTTCAGAATAAACAACATCACGAAACATTACCATTACATGTTACTAATGAAATGTATTTTTCTATTTGAGAATTTATTAGCGGCATCTAATTTAATATCTCAAATTTCCTTGATAACAAACATTGTTAACGGAGTAACATTTATATACTATAATTAATACTTATTCGTCCACAGCCAAATACAATATACTTGCATGGAATGCCATATTTGGTCAGTTTGATTTAAGTTAGTTCTAAATTGGTTTGATTCAGTCACATGTGTCGAAATTACGAACTTCCTTTAAAATTTGGTTCCTAAGTTCGACACTCACGCCTTGGCTGGAAATTTAACTCTAGACAAGCTGTTGATGGTCCAGTTTAATGAACAACTTCAATAAGTGTGTTTAAAAAGTTAACAATAGCATAACTTGACAAAAAATAAATAGTAGTTTTACTGTTACATAGGTCGACCTCTTACATGTTCCCTAAGAAGCGACTTTTTATGTTCGAATTTTCATGCCACACTTTTGTACTAACCAATGTCAGCGAAAACGGTGCCTATGTGGTCTGAATTTTTTTTCATGACTTCATCAAATGAATGATGAACGTAAATATCGATCAAAATATCAGTTAAAACGCATAATTCTGGGATTTCATGATGTTTGTAAAAAAAGGTGTCGAATTAATGGGTATGTCTAATTAAGGTGCTATTGCTCTATTCATATTTTAGTACTCTGTAAATAATAAGAGGATATTTTTTCGTCTGAGTGAAATATGGAATATATTTTCACGAAACATGATAAAATGCCACATATTTTCACGAGCCGGGACGGCGAGTGAAAATATGTGGCATTTTATCATGTTGAGTGAAAATATATACCATATTTCACGAAAAACGAAAAAATAACCTTTTTATTTAATTTCATTATCAAAGAAAAATGGTTACGAACCCCCTTGCTTGCTGCAATTGTACAGCGCGCAGTAATATATTATTTATAGATGCGTCTTGTTTTGCACGCGATATTTGGCGCTACATTGTGACGTCACGTAAACAACTCTTTAAACGTCTGTACAACGTTAATGACTGAATTAAAGATATTGGTGTTCGGATTTATTTTCTTAGTTAGACCATTTTCTATCATTCTAGATAGTTTTCAAAACAAAATTCAACAAAAATTGTTTTGTATTTATCAGATTTTTCAAACAAAATGGCGAAAGAAGTCCCTTAAAATAAATATGAGTTTTGACTCCTCCCACTTTCATATTTTTTTTCCATATTTATTTTTAAAAAATATGAAATATATTTGACTGATATAGCACCATATTTCATGGGTAAAATTAAATAATGCTTTACATTTCAGATTACGACCAGATGAAGTTTTAGGGGATCTAACCAGAGTCCAGCAGTCTGCTATTCCACTGATGTTATCATTACTTAGCAACACACTTACTGACCTTGCCTTATGTCATAATTCTATTCAGTTTTGTTGTAAGCTATTTGAGACATCAGATGTTGTTGCTACGGTGATGATAGAACAAGGGGTCATAGAGGTCATTTCTAATATGCTCCTCAATGTGCTGAAAACAGGGTCAAGGTACATTTATTTTGACATGTCCGGTTATTCCTCTTTGTAAATATTCATGTTGACATGTCCACACATCAGGTCTATCTTCTATGCTTATGTTTATTTTGACATATCCATACATGTGAAATCTCCCACTTTTAGCAAGAGACTTTTTCTTAAAATAAGGTGTATTTTCACAAATTAAACAAATCTACCTATTTTTGATGTCAGAACTTTTTTTTTGTTTATTGCAAATTCTAAAATCTCCCCTTTTTGAAGAAAAATCTCCCACTTGATCATCGAAAAAAGTTCACATGTATGCATATCAGGTTTATCTCTTTGTTTCTTTTTATATGCCCGAAAGAATTTCGGACATATTATGTTATACCCCCTGGCGTCCGTCCGTCCGTCCGTTAGCAATTTGGTTTCCGGAGCATAACTGAAGTTCCATTTGGCCCACAATATTCAAACTTCATAGGATGATTGTCCATATTGGGTAGAAGACCCCTATTGATTTTGGGGTCATAAGGTCAAAGGTCAAGGTCACTATGACCTTAAAACTGAAAACGTTAGCAATTTGGTTTCCGGAGCATAAAATAAGTTCCATTTGGCCCACAATATTCAAACTTCATAGGATGATTGTCCATATTGGGTAGAAGACCCCTATTGATTTTGGGGTCATAAGGTCAAAGGTCAAGGTCACTATGACCTTAAAACTGAAAACAGTTTTGGAGCATAACTTAAGTGCCATTTGGCCCATATTATTCAAACTTCATAGGATGATTGTCCATATTTGGTAGAAGACCCCTATTGATTTTGGGGTCACACGGTCAAAGGTCAACGTCACTGTTACCTTAAAACTGAAAACAGTTTCCGGAGCATAACTTAAGTTCCATGTGGCCTACAGTGTTCAAACTTCATAGGATGATTGTCCATATTTGGTAGAAGACCCCTTTAGATTTTGGGGTCACAGGTCAAAGGTCAAGGTCACTATGACCTTAAAACTGAAAACAGTTTCCGGAGCATAACTTAAGTTCCATTTGGCCCACAGTGTTCAAACTTCATAGGATGATTGACAATATTGGGTAGAAGACCCCTATTGATTTTGGGGTCACAAGGTCAAAGGTCAAGGTCACTATTACCTTAGAACTGAAAACAGTTTCCGGAGCATAACTTAAGGTCTATTTGGCCCACAGTGTTCAAACTTCATAGGATGATTGTCCATATTGGGTAGAAGACCCCTATTGATTTTGGGTCACAAGGTCAAAGGTCAAGGTCACTATTACTTAGAAATTGAAAACAGTTTCTTGAGCATAACTTTAGTTCCATTTAGCCCACAATATTCAAAAACTTCATAGTATGATTGTCCATATTGGATAAAAGACCCCTAATGATTTTTGGGTCACAAGGTCAAAGGTTAAGGTCACTTTTACCTTAGAATTGAAAACAGTTTCTGGGACATAACTTAAAGTTCCATTTGGACCACAATATTGAAACTTCAAAGAAGGATTGTTATTTGAAGGAGGTAATACTTTATTTTAGTCCCATGCCTTACAAATGCTTCATCTTTACTAAAAAAAAAAACACTTTCGGGCATATAATGCTCCGCCTAGCGGTGCTCTTGTTATTTTGATGTGTCAATTCATCTCTATGTTTTAATTAATGTTGACGTGTCAGGTTTATGTATATGTTTATGTTGACATGTTATGATTATCTTTATGTTGACATGTTATGATTATTTCTTATGTTTATGTTGACATGTTATGATTATTTTAATGTATATGTTTATGTTGACATGTTATGATTATTTTAATGTATATGTTTATGTTGACATGTTATGATTATTTATATGTATATGTTTATGTTGACATGTAATGATTATTTTTATGTATATGTTTATGTTGAAATGTTATGATTATTTATATGTTTATGTTGACATGTAATGATTATTTTTATGTATATGTTTATTGTGTCGCCTCTACAGAGTAGTGGCGACATATAGGGATCACTTCTCCGTCGTCTGTCTGTCCGTCTGTCTGTCCGTCTGTCCGTCCATCACAAAACTTGTCGGGACTACTCCTCATAAACTACTGGTGCAATTTCATCCAAACTTTACAGGAATGATCATTACCAAGTCTAGTTGTGCATATTGTCAGCATTTTCCGGTTCAATGATTTTTGTCAGAGTTATGGCCCTTTAATAATTTTTAATTTTAAAGTTTGTCCGGACTACTTCTCTTATACCACTAACGCAATTTCAATGAAACTTTACAGGATTGATTTGTAGCTCAAGTCCTTGCGCATATTGCAAGGGTTTTCCGGTTGAATGATTTTTGGCCGAGTTATGGCCCTTTGATAAAAAGGTTTCTTTTTCTGTGTGTTGCCAGATACACCAAAGCTTGTCCGGACTACTCCTCATAAACTACAGGTGCAATTTCATCCAAACTTTACAGGAATGATCAGTACCAAGTCTAGTTGTGCATATTGTCAGCATTTTCCGGTTCAATGATTTTTGTTTGAGTTATGGCCCATTAATAATTTTTATTTTTAAAGTTTGTCCGGACTACTTCTCTTATACCACTAATGCAATTTCAATGAAACTTTACAGGATTGATCTGTAGCTCAAGTCCTTGCGCATATTGCACGGGTTTTCCGGTTGAATGGTTTTTGGCTGAGTTATGGCCCTTTGATAAAAAGGTGTTTTTTTTCTGTGTGTTGCCAGATACGCAAAAGCTTGTCCGGACTACTCCTCATAAACTACTGGTGCAATTTTATCCAAACTTTACAGAAATGATCAGTACCAAGTCTAGTTGTGCACTGTCCGTCTGTCTGTCCCTCTGTCACAAAATTTGTCCCAACATGAAATTGGCCATCATGAGGCGACACATGTGATTACTGATCGCTCTTGTGTTGACATGTTATGATTATTTATATGTATATGTTTATGTTGACATGTAATGATTATTTTAATGTTTATGTTGACATGTTATGATTATGTATATGTTTATGTTGACATGTAATGATTATTTTTATGTATATGTTTATGTTGACATGTTATGATTATTTTTAGCTCGACTATTCGAAGAATATGAGAGCTATTCTAGTCGCCCCGGCGTCGGCGTCCGCGTCGGCGTCTGCGTTGGTTAAAGTTTTTTGTAAAGTCAAATATCTCAATTAATGCTTGAGATATTCAATTGAAACTTACAATACTTATTTATAGTAACAAGGTACATCAGATTGACAAGTTGGATAACTCTGCCTACAATATTGACAGAATTATGCCCCTTTTTAACTTAGAAATTTTGGTTAAAGTTTTTTGTAAAGTCAAATATCTCAGTTATTGCTTGAGATATTCAATTGAAACTTACAATACTTATTTATAGTAACAAGGTACATCAGATTGACAAGTTGGATAACTCTGCCTACAATATTGACAGAATTATGCCCCTTTTTAACTTAGAAATTTTGGTTAAAGTTTTTTGTAAAGTCAAATATCTCAGTTATTGCTTGAGATATTCAATTGAAACTTACAATACTTATTTATAGTAACAAGGTACATCAGATTGACAAGTTGGATAACTCTGCCTACAATATTGACAGAATTATGCCCCTTTTTAACTTAGAAATTTTGGTTAAAGTTTTTTGTAAAGTCAAATATCTCAATTATTGCTTGAGATATTCAATTGAAACTTACAATACTTATTTTTAGTAACAAGGTACATCAGATTGACAAGTTGGATAACTCTGCCTACAAAATTGACAGAATTATACCCCTTTGGAACTTAGAAATTTTGGTTAAAGTTTTTTTTGTAAAGTCAAATATCTTAATTATTGCTTGAGATATTCAATTGAAATTTAAAATACTCTTTTATAGTAACAATGTATATCAGTTTGCAAAATTGCATAACTCTGCCTGCAATATTTGCAGAATTATTTGCCCCTTTGAAACTTAGAAATTTTTGTTAAAGGTTAAAGGTCTTCAAAGATATTTACTTGAAACTTTACACATGCACTTAGGGTCATAATTGGAGGGTCATAATTGTATGTCACTGACCAAGTTCCATAACTCTATCTTGCATTAAGGCTGATTCATATCCCCTTTTCTACTTAGTCTCTTGGTTAATGTTAACATGATAGTTTTACATATCTCAATAACTATTAAAGATATTTATTTAAAACTTCACATATGCATTTAGGGTCATAATTGTAGGTCACTGACAATGATCCATAATTCTATCTTGCATTTAGGCTGATTTTTCTCCCCTTTTTCAACTTAAAAATTCATGGTAAAGTTTTGCTTGTAAGATGTTATCTCAATAACTACTGAAGGGTTTGTACCTTTTTTGGGACAATTTTATGCATTCATAATCATAAAGCAGTGATTTACTTGATAAAACATCTTAATAACAAGCCTTTGTACCTTTTCTGTCAAATTTATGTATTCATAGGTAATTAGTATTATTTTACTCAATTAAACACCCTTGTGACATTACCTTCCGAATAGTCAAGCCAATACTGTATAATTAGACTCTCTCTAAGGCCTATAACATGAATTTATGAAAAAAATTAGCTCTTTTGTGAACTTAAAAAATTTAACATTATAAAGACTCTTTTACTATCAAGCACTTAGAATAGTCGATCGTGCTGTCCTACCGACAGCTCTTGTTATGTATATGTTTATGTTGAAATGTTATGATTATTTCTTATGTATATGTTTATGTTGACATGTTATGATTATTTTAATGTATATGTTTATGTTGACATGTTATGATTATTTATATGTATATGTTTATGTTGACATGTAATGATTATTTTTATGTATATGTTTATGTTGACATACCAGGTTTATCTTTATGTTTATGTTGACATGTTATGATTATTTTTATGTATATGTTTATGCTGACATACCAGGTTTATGTTGACATACCTGGTTTATCTTTATGTTTATGTTGACATGTTATGATTATTTATATGTATATGTTTATGTTGACATGTAATGATTATTTTTATGTATATGTTTATGTTGACATACCAGGTTTATCTTTATGTTTATGTTGACATGTTATGATTATTTTTATGGACATGTCAGACTTGATGATAATTTTCAGCATGTACCACCATTTTTACCAGAAATGTGCAATAATCATTCTTTTTTTAAGTACAGTCAAACGTGTATTAAGTAACCATGCAAGGAAAACACCAAAATAGTCGTTTAACGAAATGGTTTTTTAAGACAAAGCATGAGAAAAAAGTAAAGATTTATAATTGACATATTTCCTCGGGTGTGGGGAAGTTTTTTTCAGATTCATTTATTGGAGGCCCATTTATATTATTGATTTAATTATTATAATGCTCTAATCATCTCAACAGATGCTCAAATAAAAATAATAATTTTGTGATATTTATTAACAAAACAGTTTTGGTGCATTTTTCATTTAAAGTTATAAACAAACTACAAATAATTTATATGCTGATCAAGTTCAAGGTCAATTCAATGCAGGTTAAAAATCAACAGGGAAGCATATACACCATCTCAGTAAGGGCGGAGCGTTGCATTGTTTTATTGATTTTATTGGATGATACACGTTACACATATAATTCACTTCATTTGCATATGCTAAAAACAGTTTGGGAAATAGAGCATTTCACACATTTACATATTGTGTTTGATTGTTGACGCTTGTGAAATCATGAGGCAGCTTTCTCTAAAAACACAAACACTTGACAGGTAAATGTGGTCGCTTGATGAAAAGATTGCTCTCAATAAGCTGACTAATTAGCAGTTTAATACATTAAAGATATATAGAGAAAATGATCAAGGGGGTTTTACAGTGGTAGCATTAGACAAGTCACTTAATACATGTGGTCGCATGAGCAAGTTAGACTGTATGTTGTTTAGCTGAACAAACACATGAATTACTAGACAATGACAACACAATATAGCTTTACATGTTTTATTATATTAGATGTATTTTCTGTAATAACGAAGATCAGCAAAATGAATTTGAAAATGAAATCAGCACAGCTTATCTCAGAATTGCTCATAGATAGCTTGTAGATAAGGAAAGGAAATATACATGTCTACATGTAGAGTTTTATAACTTTTGTATTCCTTAATGTACATTGATTTTAATGAATAGATGATCTGTCTATATATGTTATATGTTAAGGTCTTTTGTGTCTATCTGTATAATCAGTTTATATTTCAGAGACACAGATGTTGAGGGTATGGATGAGAGTGAGATATTATTAGGTGACCTTCTTCAGTTCTACAAGGTCATTGCTGTCCGAGAATTCAGGTATCTCATTACCCTGTTGTCAACTCTTATCCTTTCACAAAACTTATTATGATCATTTCAACAGTTAATAACAAAATGTTCACATAACTTGACTTATTGTGATCATTTCTATGCAAAATAACAAATGTTAACATAAAAGAATATGACTCTATGTGATTATTTCTACATAAGATAAAAAAAAATGATACCCTAATAATGCATGACTCATTGCCTTGAATTTATATTGATTCATATTCATTTTATAATAGTTCCTCTGTAAAAAATAATATGTCAAGCATGTGATTTCATTTCACTGACATATTTTGCTTTTTGACATATGTATTTCTTTTCACTATGACAGGCTGCATCATTCCAGATCCCTTTGTCTTCCACTTGAGTTGTCATACAGTCTTCATTATAATAATTGTCTGGATTACCATCCATCCAATATCTGAAATTAACAGTAGAACCTGATTTAGACCACTTCCAGTTGCCCTCCTTCTCTATGTCTGTAGCTCCTACCCAGTACACATTTTCAGATGATATTGAAAGAGCCATCTTGGCAATGTCCTGAACTTCAGCTTTATTCTTATATTCTACAAGAGAACCTCCTTTAGACTGACAGTCTGTCATTGCATTTTTCCAGGACAATTTCAAGTTACTGAAATAGTAACATGACTCTCGGTAGTTGTTCCAAGGATAAAGGCATGACACTTCATCACTTAACTTGTCTATTTCTATAAATGTTAGCTTCAGCTTATTCATCACTGTATCTATGGTCTGTACTTTTTTTTCTATTTCATCAATTTTATTTACTTTCTCAACCATATTTTTAATGTCCTGTGTAGCTTGTTGTATTTTCTCTCCAAATCCTTTCACATTATGTACAAGATGTTGTTGAGCATCTGCCATGGTTGTAATCTTTTTCTGAACATTTATTGTCTGATTTTTAATGTTTATAAACTCATCTCTGTTTACAGTGTTGGAGACAACGGTTTCCTTCAGAAATTTTAAATCACCTAAAACGTTCTCAATGCTCTCAGATTGACCACTTGAAAGAGTTTCTAAGTCTTTTTGTCCTTTTTCAAGAATTTCTATTCTGTTCACAAGTTCCTGATATTGGTTACGCGTATATTTCTTTTCTCTCTGCCATGCTGAAAGTAATCTCTTCTCTACTTCCTGTGTTTGACTGGACTGTTTGACTGTCACCTCTGTAGGCATAGTTTGAGAAGTTGGAGATTTCCTGGAGCACATTGACATGTTCATCTGTTCCATGTTATCGTATACATCTATCATGTCAAGTCTGAAGGAAGCTATATCATTGTTGATAGCATCTATCTTAACTTCAACATTTTCCATTCTTTTCTTAAGTCTTGCTGACCCATTAACTTCCCCATTAAGGTATGAAATAAAACATATTAACACAATATTTAGTTTATATTATATAAGTTCTCCATTATTGTATTATCTTTGCACAGTGTTTTATTATGAAGATATAAGCAGTTATGAAATATAACTGTAACACAAATATGTCATTACAATATATACTCACAAATTCAAGTACCATAAGTAGACACTCTGATTATGTATTTTACAAAATCCTGTTTAGTAAGTAGCCAACAACAAAAGTTTAAGTGTTCACCAGGATTTTTCAACTTCGGCATTTTGTTCTCAGATATCATTGTAAGTAGGGAGTTCAAGTACAGTATAATGTACTTTATTGTACTGTTTTCTTTATCAGCAACCTTCCAGTGACTATAGTGGATAAATGATATATTAGTTAATTAACATTTTATCACTCATAATTACATTCATATCAAGTTTATTGTTGTATTATCAAATTTTTTGAAATTATAGTTTTGTTCTACTTGTATTTTGTTCATACAGGCATTCATATACTGCTTCTATATTCTTACACAGTTATATTGTACCCCTCTCACCAAATGCTAGAATCATACACAAACAATATCATATGAATTATATAATATAGATTTCTCAGGTTATATGCCTGCCACCCATCACCCTTTACTTTTACTTAAGGTGTATAATTAACAAGGGAAGATCTGAATTTTTTCCTTTAGATTTAAATAAAAATAAGAATGTTATATTGTTTTTTGTTACAGTGCTAGTGGCCTGCAGCATTATCAACATTGTGAAGATATTGTTGTATTATTACAAGATCTAGAATCAACCCAAATACAAACACAAGGTAGGGGAAAAACATCATTTTTTAAGAGGGAAATTGAGGGCCCATTTCAGCCTAAAAAAATCCAAATGCTTTGCATTGTATAAATGTGAAGATCTCAGTTTACCTTGTTACATGTTATATTCTGTTAAAATGATGACATATGATATTTGTTTATATTTCTCAAACTTAGATATATAATGTAATTATACCTGTTTCCATGCTATTTTGTAAGACTAGTTGTACTCCCAGATTCTGTAACAAGGTTTCAAGGTGGCTATTTAAGTTTACATATAATGAGATGTGTTTGAAAAAAAAACAGTAACAACACTGTAATTATGTTCATAAATGATATATATGTTAATCAGATACGATGCTAATTTTGCAACTCCGTAAAAATGGTATTGCATGGCCGTGCATATATTTTGATGTGACGTCATTCACGTTTTACAAACATAATGTAAAGAGGCACTAAGTGTTAGCATTACACTATAGGCGCGTCAGTGAAAAATGACTTCAACAGTCTTTATTGTGCCCCCACTTTAGTGGCGGGCATTTAGATTTACCCTTGTTAGTCCGTCCGTCCTTACGTCTGTCTGTTCTCTTTTGTGTCGCACCTAACTCATTTGACCGAGAGTCATGAAACTTTACAGGAATGTTGATCAGCATGTGTAGTTGTGCACCTGGGTATTTTCATCTGGATTTTTTTATTATTTTTAGAGTAATTGCCCTTGACTTAGTAAAATTTTGTAATTTTCAACTTGTGTCGCATATAACTCAAAAACTATTTGACCTAGAGTCATGAAACTTTACAGGAATGTTGATCAGCATGTGTAGTTGAGCACCTGGGTATTTTTGTCTGGATATTTTTAGCTCGACTATTCGATAAGAATAAGTAGAGCTATTGCAGTCACCCGAGCGTCGGCGTCGGCGTAACCACTTATGTTAAAGTTTTTGTAATAGTTCAAATATTTTCAAAGTCCATTGACATATGGCTTTGAAACTTTGCACACTTGTTCACCATCATGACCCCAACCTGTAGACAGGAGGAGGTAACTCTATCAAGCATTTTGACAGAATTATGCCCCTTTTTCGACTTAGAATTTACGTTAAAGTTTTTGTAATAGTTCAAATATTTTCAAAGTCCATTGACATATGGCTTTGAAACTTTGCACACTTGTTCACCATCATGACCCCAACCTGTAGACAGGAGGAGGTAACTCTATCAAGCATTTTGACAGAATTATGCCCCTTTTTCGACTTAGAATTTACGTTAAAGTTTTTGTAATAGTTCAAATATTTTCAAAGTCCATTGACATATGGCTTTGAAACTTTGCACACTTGCCCCACCTGTAGACAGAAGGAGGTATCTCTATCAAGCATTTTGACAGAATTATGCCCCTTTTTCGACTTAGAATTTACGTTAAAGTTTTTGTAATAGTTCAAATATTTTCAAAGTCCATTGACATATGGCTTTGAAACTTTGCACACTTGTTCACCATCATGACCCCAACCTGTAGACAGGAGGAGGTAACTCTATCAAGCATTTTGACAGAATTATGCCCCTTTTTCGACTTAGAATTTACGTTAAAGTTTTTGTAATAGTTCAAATATTTTCAAAGTCCATTGACATATGGCTTTGAAACTTTGCACACTTGCCCCAACCTGTAGACAGAAGGAGGTAACTCTATCAAGCATTTTGACAGAATTATGCCCCTTTTTCGACTTAGAATTTACGTTAAAGTTTTTGTAATAGTTCAAATATTTTCAAAGTCCATTGACATATGGCTTTGAAACTTTGCACACTTGTTCACCATCATGACCCCAACCTGTAGACAGGAGGAGGTAACTCTATCAAGCATTTTGACAGAATTATGCCCCTTTTTCGACTTAGAATTTACGTTAAAGTTTTTGTAATAGTTCAAATATTTTCAAAGTCCATTGACATATGGCTTTGAAACTTTGCACACTTGTTCACCATCATGACCCCAACCTGTAAACAGGAGGAGGTAACTTTATCAAGCATTTTTTTTACTATCAAGCACTAAGAATAGTCGAGCGTTGCTGTCCTACCGACAGCTCTTGTTTTAGAGTTATTGCCCTTGACTTAGTAAAATTTTGCAATTTCAACTTGTGTCGCATGTAACTCAAATAGGATTTGACATAGAGTCATGAAACTTTACAGGAATATTGATCAGCATGTGTAGTTGTGCACCTGGGTATTTTTGTCTGGATTTATTTAGTATTTTTAGAGTTATTGCCCTTGACTTAGATTTTTTTTGCATTTTTCAACTTGTGTCGCATGTAACTCAAAAAGGATTTGACATAGAGTCATTAAACCTTAAGGGAAGGTTGCTCAGCATATGTAGTTGTGCACCTTGGGGTTTGGCTTGTAAATTTATCCAGTATTTGTAGAGTTATTGTCCCCTGCCTTTTCGAAGAAAAAAGGGGGATATAGTAATAGGCTCCGTCCGTCCGTCCGTTCGTCCGTCCATCCGTCCGTCACACTTTTGTGTCCGGTCCATAACTTTGTCATTTATCAAAGGAATCTGAAATAACTTGGCACAAATGTTTGTTATAATAAGACGATGTGTCATGCGCAACAATCAGACCCCTAACTCCAAGGTCAAGGTCACACTTGCTCATTCAAGGTCAACATTGTCTATTTGATGATATATGTCGTGTCCGGTCCATAACTTTCTTATCTATGAAGGGATTTTGTAAAAACTTGCCATAATTGTTCACAATAATCAGACGATGTGTCATGCGCAACAACCGGTCACCTACGTCCAAGGTGAAAGTCACACTTGGAGGTCAAAGATTAACATAGTCTATTACAGGGTATATTTCGTGTCAGGTCCATAACTTTTTCATTTATCAAAGGAATCTGAAATAACTTGGCACAAATGTTTGTTATAATAAGACAATGTGTCATGCGCAACAACCAGACCCCTACCTCCAGGGTCAAGGTTGCACTTGCTCATTCAAGGTCAACATTGTCTATTTGATGGTATATGTTGTGTCCGGTCCATAACTTTCTTATCTCTGAAGGGATTTTGTAAATACTTGCCACAATTGTTCACAATAATGAGACGATGTGTCATGCGCAACAACCTGTCACCTACCTCCAAGGTCAAGGTTACACTTGGAGGTCAAAGATTAACATAGTCTATTACAGGGTATATTTTGTGTCTGGTCCATATCTTTTTTATTGATGAAAGGATTTTGTAAATACTTGCCACAAATAGTCACTATGATAAGACAATGTGTCATGCGCAACACCTGCATCCCTACCTGCAGGTTCAAGGTCACACTTAGAGGTCAAAAGTTAACATAGTCTGTTTTAGAGTATATTTTGTACTTCTTCAGGATTTTGAAATAACTAGGCACAAAAAGTCACAATAATAAGACAATATGTCAGGTACAACACCTGCACCCCTACCTCCAAGGTCAAGGTCACACTTAGAGGTCAAAGGTTATCAGAGTCTGTTATATGGTTTATTTTGTGTCCTGTCTATAACTTCTTCATAGATCAAGGGATTTTGAAAATACTTGGCACAAATAGTCACATAAGATGATATGTCATGCATAACACATGTGTCCCTACCTCCAAGGTGAAGGTCACACATAGAGGTCAAAGATTTACATAGTCTGATATAGGGTATATTTTGTGTCCAGTCCATAACCTGGGATTTTAAAAATACTTTGCACAAATAATCACAATAATAAGATAATATGTCAGGCGCAAAACATGAGTCCCTACCTCCAAGGTCACACTTAGAGGTCAAAGATTGACATAGTGTGTTATAGGGTATATTTTGTGTCCAATCTATAACTTCTACATAGTTCAAGGGATTTTGAAAATACTTGGCACAAATAGTAATATTAATAAGAGGATACTGTATAGCGCATTATATCTGCGGTGTCAAATGTTGGCGTTTTTTAAAGTGTTTTGAATTGGCGGGGTCATAAATTGGCGCAAACGCTTTTAGACCGCCAAATTAAAACACTTGTTGGCATAAATATGGGGTCATGAATTGGCGATTACAAATAAAGAATAAAAAAAATAAATAAAAATAACACCGGTCACGCAGTAGTTGACTGTCCTCGTTTATTTTACGGCATACCTATGCTTGGTCACCTTTATCTTTACATCGTGCTAATTCTTATAATTAACTGGGATCAGACAGGTGTAAATATGGTACCGTGTGGTAACTGGACCATGGAAGAGAAAGGTATGCCCTAATTATCCTGCAGTCTTTAAAGCGTGAAAAATTGTTCACGGTCACCACAACTGATTGCTATATAATTACAGTTATCATTAGTTTTATTTCAAATTATGAAACATAACAGTGAAAACAAAACAAATACTAGTTTACTTAAATTCGATAATAAATGACATTTAGATTTGTTTCTTGTCGTGTGATCATCTTCGTAATAAATACAGTATATAGATATATAATTAAATGAGTTTCGTACCAAGACTTAAAAATAAACAAATTCTTTTCAGCTTACTTGTAATGTTTATTTTTATTACAAATAATCAAGGGAGATTACTCGGACAAACCAAAGCTATTTTACCATGAGTTGTCTACCTTTCAAAGAATAATGGCGATGATCTAAAATGGCGGTGTTTTAAATTGGCGGTGTTTTGAATTGGCGCTACTGACCCTGACCGCCAATATAGCCAAATATAAACCCCCGCCAAAATAAGTACTTATACAGTATGTCATGCACAACACCTGCACCCCTACCTCCAAGGTCAAGGTCACACTTAGACGTCAAAGGTTAACATGATAGAATTTTAAATTCCGTGTTTCATTTTACTAGTATTTCTTTAATAAATTTATTGTTGCATTTGCAGATCTAGCATTGATCATAATTTTGGACTGGAAGTCCTGAAATCCATAACTAAATCTTTTGAAATAGCACAATTTTATGCTTCATATAAAACTTCCCCGAGGCGGGGGACGTTGGTAACTCTGTTACAAATTCTTGTTTCCCTTGACTTAGTAAAAACCGTTTCATTATGTTGTTATTTGCTCCTTGAGTTCTTGAGTTAGAATCAACCAACTTTACAGGAATAATGATCCAACATCACTAAATTACAGGAATAATGATTCACATCACTGTGAAGCTATGAACCTGGGACTTTGCATGTGGATTTTTTTCAGTTTTGTCAGAGTTATTACCCTTGACTTACAGTAGTATAAATTTGCAATATTCAACTTGTTCATGCATAGCTCAAAAAGTATTTCACTTGTAGGCCTGAAAGTTTACAAGAATGTTGGTCAGCATGTGTACTTATGCACCTTGGGGTTTGCTTGTGGATTTATTCAGTATTTGTAAAGTTCTTGCTCTTTACTTAGTAAAAGATTTTTAGTTTTCAAAAAATATTTGACCTAGAGTCATTAGATTGACAGAACAGTGGCGCGGTGGGGGCACCCGTGTCCTATGGACACATTTCTAGTTTTGGATATGTGATAAATAAAATATTATATTTGTGTAAGTTTATTACTGAATTTATTGAACTTGTTAAATAATATAATAGTTTGCTTGCAGAATATAATTTTATAGGCTTGCATGATATTATTTTATTCAACTCGTTCAATAAATTCAGTATTGAACCTACACTCATTTAATATCTTCTATATCAGGGAGAGACAGTAAGAATGTACAGACATTACGGACACTACAGCAGTTTATATTTGTTGCTATCATGGACCTGGTAGAGAGAAGAAGTGAGGAAGTTAGTCAACAATCAACAATAAGTTTCTTCTCTAAACAAACACCTTCTAGGACAACTTCAACATCCTATGGTATGTTTCCTTTCTATGTTTATTACATATGGTATTTCAAACACCATCCCTTCCTTCATAATATATGTATTTACCATTATAATTTAGATAATATAAGTTTTACAAACTTCTGGCCCAATTCTTGTGTATTTATCTGGTAAAAGTTAAGATTGCAGTTCTTATGACAGCTTCTGTAATTTCTACAACTTAAATCAACCATAAGAAAACAATCATTGGTTTCATTCTCTTATCAGAAATTAGTTTTAAGATACATTTAATATTCATCGTAAGAAAAAATATATTTATAGGTATAGATCTTGTAGTTTACATATTGCTCATATATATACTTACAATTTTACATGTTTTTATAGCCAACAACCCCAGTTCCTTCCCATCATTCCATGCTCACAGAAACCTCTCCTTTCAACCTCAACACTTCTCTCTCAGTGGCACATTTGGTAGATTACCTTTCCGTAAGAAATCACCAGGTGGATATTTTGTCCAATCAGATAATCCGTACCATGAGGCAGCATTGACCAATAGCGGATCAGGAGATAGTGACAGTTCCCAGGATTCCTGGCTGACAGGAAGTATCTACAGCAATCGTACAGTTAACTTGCCTGTAACTAAATCATACAACAGAACAAAGTCAATAGACATTAGTTATGGAGCTAGAGCAAGGAGTAACTCACTGTTACAAACAATGTTATCTATTGGGAAGAGAAAGAAGTTAGTGACAGTTCCTATAACTCAAAATGAGCTGATAGAGAGACTGAAGAAAGTTATCACATTTGCTGTAGATTCTGCCATGTTTGCAGGTAATATGTCATATGTTTTTGTTGTTTTATATTTGATACATGACATTTATAGAAATATGTTAAATATCAGTCTTAATAAACATGAATATTAAATTCTTGTAGCAAATTCATGATAAATTTCTGATATGTAGATGTTTGAATATAAGTCTCATCTTGCTTAAATGTTACATTTCTGTCTCGTTATATATACATGATATCTGTCTTGTCATACATATATTGTATAATAATGGACAATAAATATTAGTATTATTTGTATAAGGTCCCATACTTGTGCCAATGGGGTCTGGGAGCTGTTTTGGTAACTGACTGAATCACTAACCCCTTACTGCTGTAGGTTTGAATCTCTAAAGATTCTCTCATGTTGGTTATGCAGCTAGCTAGTTTACAGAAAGTTGGTGGTTCTACCTCAGATGCTTGCTGTAAGATTTCTAATGACCTTTCATGACCTTTAATTTTGTTACCTTATAGTAATTTAGATTATTGTATACATGTAATGACTACAGATTGTATAGTGTGTTAGAGAAGATGTGTAGTGTTAGTATAGTATACATGAGGGAAGACGTGTAGTGTTAGTATAGTATACATGTTTTGACTACAGATCGTAAAGTGTGTGAGGGAAGATGTGTAGTGTTAGTATAGTATACATGTTTTGACTACAGATCGTAAAGTGTGTGAGAGAAGATGTGTAGTGTTAGTATAGTATACATGTTTTGACTACAGATCGTAAAGTGTGTGAGGGAAGACGTGTAGTGTTAGTATAGTATACATGTTTTGACTACAGATTGTAAAGTGTGTGAGAGAAGACGTGTAGTGTTAGTATAGTATACATGTTTGACTACAGATTGTAAAGTGTGTGAGAGAAGACGTGTAGTGTTAGTATAGTATACATGTTTTGACTACAGATTGTAAAGTGTGTGAGGGAAGACGTGTAGTGTTAGTATAGTATACATGTTTTGACTACAGATGGTAAAGTGTGTGAGGGAAGATGTGTAGTGTTAGTATAGTATACATGTTTTGACTACAGATCATAAAGTGTGTGAGGGAAGATGTGTAGTGTTAGTATAATATACATGTTTTGACTACAGATCATAAAGTGTGTGAGGGAAGATGTGTAGTGTTAGTATAATATACATGTTTTGACTACAGATGGTAAAGTGTGTGAGGGAAGACGTGTAGTGTTAGTATAGTATACATGTTTTGACTTCAGATCATAAAGTGTGTGAGGGAAGATGTGTAGTGTTAGTATAGTATACATGTTTTGACTACAGATCATAAAGTGTGTGAGGGAAGATGTGTAGTGTTAGTATAATATACATGTTTTGACTACAGATGGTAAAGTGTGTGAGGGAAGACGTGTAGTGTTAGTATAGTATACATGTTTTGACTACAGATCATAAAGTGTGTGAGGGAAGATGTGTAGTGTTAGTATAAAATACATGTTTTGACTACAGATGGTAAAGTGTGTGAGGGAAGACGTGTAGTGTTAGTATAGTATACATGTTTTGACTACAGATCGTAAAGTGTGTGAGGGAAGACGTGTAGTGTTAGTATAGTATACATGTTTTGACTACAGATCATAAAGTGTGTGAGGGAAGATGTGAAGTGTTAGTATAGTATACATGTTTTGACTACAGATTGGTAAAGTGTGTGAGGGAAGACGTGTAGTGTTAGTATAGTATACATGTTTTGACTACAGATTGTAAAGTGTGTGAGAGAAGACGTGTAGTGTTAGTATAGTATATATGTTTTGACTACAGATTGTAAAGTGTGTGAGGGAAGACGTGTAGTGTTAGTATAGTATACATGTTTTGACTACAGATAGTAAAGTGTGTGAGGGAAGACGTGTAGTGTTAGTATAGTATACATGTTTTGACTACAGATCGTAAAGTGTGTGAGGGAAGATGTGTAGTGTTAGTATAGTATACATGTAATGACTACAGATCGTAAAGTGTGAGGGAAGATGTGTAGTGTTAGTATAGTATACATGTTTTGACTACAGATCATAAAGTGTGAGGGAAGACGTGTAGTGTTAGTATAGTATACATGTTTTGACTACAGATCGTAAAGTGTGAGGGAAGACGTGTAGTGTTAGTATAGTATACATGTTTTGACTACAGATCGTAAAGTGTGAGGGAAGATGTGTAGTGTTAGTATAGTATACTTTGTATACATGTTTTGACTACAGATCGTAAGGTGTGTGAGGGAAGATGTGTAGTGTTAGTATAGTATACATGTTTTGACTACAGATCGTTAAGTGTGTGAGGGAAGACGTGTAGTGTTAGTATAGTATACATGTTTGACTACAGATTGTAAAGTGTGTGAGGGAAGACGTGTAGTGTTAGTATAGTATACATGTTTTGACTACAGATCGTAAAGTGTGTTAGGGAAGATGTGTAGTGTTAGTATAGTATACATGTTTTGACTACAGATCGTAAAGTGTGAGGGAAGATGTTGTAGTGGTTAGTATAGTATACATGTTTGGACTACAGATTGTAAAGTGTGTGAGGGAAGACGTGTAGTGTTAGTATAGTATACATGTTTTGACTACAGATCGTAAAGTGTGTTAGGGAAGATGTGTAGTGTTAGTATAGTATACATGTTTTGATTACAGATTGTAAAGTGTGTGAGGGAAGACGTGTAGTGTTAGTATAGTATACATGTTTTGACTACAGATCGTAAAGTGTGTGAGGGAAGACGTGTAGTGTTAGTATAGTATACATGTTTTGACAACAGATCGTAAAGTGTGTGAGGAGAACGTGTAGTGTTAGTATAGTATACATGTTTTGACTACAGATCGTAAAGTGTGTGAGGGAAGACGTGTAGTGTTAGTATAGTATACATGTTTTGACTACAGATCGTAAAGTGTGTGAGGGAAGACGTGTAGTGTTAGTATAGTATACATGTTTTGACTACAGATCGTAAAGTGTGTGAGGGAAGACGTGTAGTGTTAGTATAGTATACATGTTTTGACTACAGATCGTAAAGTGTGTGAGGGAAGACGTGTAGTGTTAGTATAGTATAACATGTTTTTGACTACAGATCGTAAAGTGTGTGAGGGAAGATGTGTAGTGTTAGTATTAGTATACATGTTTTGACTACAGATCGTAAAGTGTGTGAGGGAAGACATGTAGTGTTAGTATAGTATACATGTTTTGACTACAGATCGTAAAGTGTGTTAGAGAAGATGTGTAGTGTTAGTTTAGTATACATGTTTTGACTACAGATCGTAAAGTGTGTGAGGGAAGACATGTAGTGTTAGTATAGTATACATGAGGGAAGATGTGTAGTGTTAGTATAGTATACATGTTTTGACTACAGATCATAAAGTGTGTGAGGGAAGATGTGTAGTGTTAGTATAGTATACATGTTTTGACTACAGATCGTAAAGTGTGTGAGGGAAGACGTGTAGTGTTACTATTGGAGATGTCACCTCAATCTGTCAATGTAGAGAGAGATTACATGAGAAAACTGTTCACATTTATATACAAGGCATTTGAAGTAACTCTTCCTCAGGTAAAAAAAAAAGATTTCTATGTTTTATTTATGACCCTTCCATTAAGGTTAAAGTTGTTGCTGTAGTTCATCTTGATTTCTTGTACAAGTTGCTCTCTTGCTGTGCAATGTTACTTCAGTGATCACATGTAAGCAAAATAAACTCTGATTTATTTCAGTATTTTTTTAAGTTCAAATCTCAAGTAAAATGTCGAGAAATCAGTTAAGTTAATAATGCATGAATTAACAATTATGACATTTTAATTTGTAGGATAAAAGTTCATACAATAAAAGAAACAAAAATGTCATCATGTGGGGAGCCAAAGATGTTCTTAGAGTACAGGTATTATGCTTTAATAGTTTTCCTGTTTAAGATATAAACAGTTCTCATTTACACTGAACTCAAATATAGAGGACATACTGATATAAGGAACACTGTTATTAATTTAGGTGCCAATTTCCCTCTTTTATTTTACATTGAAATCTCAGTTAAAAGTATACTAGCTTACTAAGTTAGTTTAGTTACACTTAAGTTTTAAAGCAGCATGCCTCCAGATTCATGCTTATTTTCATGAAAGTTTGAAAATGTAATTGTATCAAAATGTAAAATATTTTAAAGTGAACAAAGAAAGTAAATAACACATTGCAAATGGCACTTTTAATCAAAGTAAATTATTAAAGGTCAAAATATGTAAAAAAATAGCACTTACTGCATTAGTCATGCAGTAGAAATATGGCGAAAATACTGCAAATCAGTCATTCATTGCTAATAAAGTGAAAATCTTTACTTGAATTGTGAATTTCTTTACTTTTCTTAAAAATCTTGAACATTTCTCTTCAGTTAATTTTCCTGAGATTTTGGCTCTTCTGAAGGCATGCAGCTTTAACACTGGAAGGAGCGTTTACTTATATCCAATTTTTGTGTTTCTGTTTTGTCTTTCTTAGAAAGTGCTAGGCTATAATTTTTACCTACCTGTAGCTTGATAGGAGTGTTTTTTTAGCTCACCTGTCACAAAGTGACAGGGTGAGCTTTTGTGATCGCTTTTCGTCCGGCGTCCGTCCGGCGTCCGTCCGTCCGTAAACTTTTGCTTTAAATGACATCTCCTCTTAAACCACTAAGCCAATTTCATCCAAACTTCACAGGAATGTTCCTTTGGTGGTCACCTTTAAAAATTGTTCAAAGAATTTAATTCCATGCAGAACTCTGGTTGCCATGGCAACCAAAAGAAAAAACTTTAAATATCTTCTTTTAAAAAACCATAAGAGCTAGAGCTTAGATATTTGGCATGAAACATCTTCTAGTGAGTGTCTACCAAGTTTGTTCAAATAAAAGCCCTGGGGTCAAAATTGGCCCCGCCCCTGGGGGTCATTGATTTTCCCTATATGCATATAGTATAAAAACTTAAAAATCTTCTTTTAAAGAACCGTAAGAGCTAAAGCTTAGATATTTTGGCATGAAACATCTTCTAGTGAATGTCTACCAAGTTTGTTCAAATAAAAGCCCTGGGGTCAAAAATTGGCCCCGACCCAGGGGGTCATTGATTTTCCCTATATGCATATAGTAAAAACTTAAAAAATCTTCTTTTAAAGAACCCAAAGAGCTAGAGCTAAGATATTAAGCATGAAACATCTTCTAGTGAGTGTCTACCAAGTTTGTTCAAATAAAAGCCCTGGGGTCAAAATTGGCCCCGCCCCGGGGGGTCATTGATTTTCCCTATATGCATATAGTAAAAACTTAAAAAAATCTTCTTTTAAAGAACCATAAGAGCTAGAGCTTAGATATTTGGCATGAAACATCTTCTAGTGAATGTCTACCAAGTTTGTTCAAATAAAAGCCCTGGGGTCAAAATTGACCCCGCCCCAGGGGGTCATAGATTTTCCCTATATGCATATAGTAAAATCTTAAAAAATTTTCTTTTAAAGAACCCAAAGAGCTAGAGCTAAGATATTAAGCATGAAACATCTTCTAGTGAGTGTCTACCAAGTTTGTTCAAATTAAAGCCCTGGGGTCAAAATTGGCCCCGCCCCAGGGGGTCATTGATTTTCCCTATATGCATATAGTAAAAACTTAAAAAATCTTCTTTTAAAGAACCATAAGAGCTAGAGCTAAGATATTTAGTATGAAACATCTTCTAATGAGTGTCTACCAAGTTTGTTCAAATAAAAACTCTGGGGTCAAAATTGGCCCCGCCCCAGGGGGTCATTGATTTTCCCTATATGCATATAGTAAAAACTTAAAAAATCTTCTTTTAAAGAACTCAAAGAGCTAGAGCTAAGATATTTAGCATGAAACATGTTCTAATGGGTGTCTACCAAGTATGTTCAAATAAAAGCCCTGGAGTCAAAACTGGCCCCGCCCGGGGGGGTGGGTCATTGATTTTCCTTATATGTGTATAGCAAAAACTTAAAAATCTTCTTTGGAAAAACCCAAATAGCTAGAGTTTAGATATTAAGCATGAAACATCTTTAAGTAAATATCTACAAAGTTTGTTAAAATAAACGCCCGGGGGTCAAAACTGGCCCTGCCCCAGGGGTGTCATTGTTTTTAAATATATGTGTAAAGAAAAAACTTAAAAAACTTCTTTTAAAAAATCCAACGAGCTAGACCTTTGATGTCTAGCATGAAACATCTTCTAATGGGTGTCTACCAAGTTTGTTCAAATAAAAGCCATGGGGTTTAAACTGGCCCCGCTCCGGGGGGCCTATATACAGGTGAGCGACTTCAGGGCCATCATGGCCCTCTTGTTTGTCCAGTTTGTCAATTTTGGAAGGAAACAATTTTAACTGATGTTGTGTTGATGTATTTTATCTAGCTTGGAAGGTTGCTGGGGTTTATGTTATCAAGCAGGCAGGAGTTTGATCAGCGAGCATTTGCTCTGTCATATATAGCAGGCGAACAACGTGGGTTTGAGGTCCTCAAGATGATTGTAACAACCCAAGATGTTGTAAGTAAATTTTTATTGCCTTTAAGAAGGTAATAAGATGAATTTAATTTAAGACATTTTCAAGCAACATATAATGGACATGATATAGATTATTTATCATTATATTTGTTTGGTTTTATGGACTTACAGTGATAACTCATATACTGAATACAGAAAGTATATTTAATTGGCTCCAGTCTTGGCAAATACATAATTCTGTACCTATTTCTTAATTCTGTACCTATTTCTTATCTGTTGGCTCACAAATTCAGCAAAAGTAACAAGAAAAACAACAAGATAACTCGTGTTATTCTTTAAAAAACATTCATTACAGGGCAATGACATTGCATATTTCATCTATGACCTAATGACCCAAGGTCAGAGTTGGTTGTCAAGGCAACAGAATGCAGATGGGTCAAAGATGATCAATCATTTAAGTAATGCAGGTTACGAGGTGTTCTCTCCCAGCAGCCATTTGTCAGCATTGGTACTGGAACGCTTGAATGAGGTAATCAGTGAAGTATTGAACCTTTTCAAGCAGACTTAGAATGAGGTTAGGTAATCAGTGAAGTACTTAACAAGCAGACTTAAAAATAAGGAAATCTGTAAGTGTTGTAAGTTTACAAGCAGACTTAGAATGAGGTTAAGCAATCAGTGATGTTATACTTGCAGACTTAGAATGAGGTAAGTACAGTCGACTCGGCTTATAACGAACTCAATAGGACATTTAAATATTGTTCTTTATACCCGAAGTTCGTTAAAGCGAAGTAGTAACAACATGCTGACTTGTTTGGGTGGGTAAATTTGCTGTGAAAAAGCCTTACCTGTCACTGGTCACCCGTGTAATCGCTATTTTACGGCAGCGGTAATTTAATGCGAGGCATTTTATGGAACAATATATTATGTACATGTATTTTGACATGTAGTACTTGTCTATAAAGTTCTTACCATTTGTATTCTTTTGCAATTTGTTAATGTTTGGTTCATATTACATACAAAAATCAATTATTTGTTAATAATTAGGTATTTACAGCAATTTATCAACTGAGGTTGCAAATACAAAATTACCGTAACAAGTAGGAAATTATGTTGTGAGGACATTATATCAAAATCTTTATTCCTGAAGTCATAACTTACATGTGCAGTCACTCGATTGAATAATTATCGGATAGAGCTATTCATGTATTTATCTTAATCAAGTGCACCCCGATATTTCAATTGTAACAGTTTGTTTTAACTGAGGACTTTTACATGTTTTTCGCCATTTTGGGGCTTAAAAAAGTTGTTCGCTTTAGCCGAAAATTCGTTTTAAGCGAGTACGTATTAAGCGATGTGATTTAATATAAAATAAAGAAGGAATCACCCGGGGATGTCAGATTAGTTTGCTATTAACAATAATTTGTTATAAGCGAGTTCTTTATAAGTGGAGTTGACTGTACCTTTTCAAGCAGACTTAGAATGAGGTTAGGTAATCAGTGAAGTATTGACCTCTAACAAGCACATACTGTATAACTTGGTTTGTATTTGCCTAACAAGAACTTATATACTTCCTGTAGGTTTGAGTTACTGAAACTTAAAAAGATTATTTACAATATGATTTCTGTAATGCAATTTGACTCCTAGTGAAAGTGCTGGTTTTTGTGTGGAAAATGTAAACTTATTAACCAGTGATCTTAGTTACAGATAATGTATGCAAATATATTTTTATTTGTCAAAACATAATTATAATTTAAATATGTTTCTTTGTCTACAGAGAAAAAAGTTCATAGAATCAAGGTATGAAAATCAGAAAACAACATGGCTAAAGAGGAAAGAGACATCATTAAATAGGTCAGTCTTTGAACTTGTTCTATTATATTTGATTTAAAATTTGATTTCATTGAAATAATAGCATTTCAACAAATGTTAAATATTGATTATGTGAACAAATTTGAGGGAATGTTTTAGTGATAATATTAATGACATAGATAAACATTATGATATATATGTCTTATCTGTAAGCTAGGAACCATTGACATTTGTATTTAAAAGTTATTGATATCTGTAAATACCAAATAAAGAGATATATAATTTAAGATATGGGTTTTTTTCAGGATATTTCATCAGTTTGACAACCAGTCTGCACGTTTAAGTGACAGTGCCATGGAGGTCACCCAGACTGTGACACATTCACAAACTTTAGAACGTAACAAATTTGTTGAATATTTGAGGCAAAAGAAGACTGATAGTATTGAAGTAAAGAAACAGTGGCAGGACATTGTACAAAATCTTACACATGAAAGGTCAGTGGCTTAAACTGCTTGTCTCAAATCAGTAAATTCATGTAATGAAAAAGTAAAATATAGATATCAGTGTCACTTGGTTAATGAAATGTAATAAGTAAACAAGCTAAGGTTATTACAATTTCAACTTCCATAGTGAAAATATTCTACACTTTTTTTTCATTTGAAAATGCCATATTGGTCTTACAGAAGAACTGATTAGAAAAATTTATTACTTAATCATCATGAAAACTAACTGTTCATTTATTTATGTTTTATAATATTAATGATTTTGTTGCACATTTTATTTTTGTTTTGTGTTGAATTAGGGCCTTGTGGTATGATGAAAAATCTTATCCCCAGTCCTGGCAACTGAACCCCACTGAGGGCCCCTGTAGAGTAAGGAAGAGGCTACAAAGGGGACATCTTGGAATATTGCCTAAATTTCTCAAAAAAGAATTCCAACACAAATTGTGTAAGTATGAGAATAGTTTATTGAATTGCAAAGTTCCCCTTGTTACTGTGATTGTTAAAAACATGTCACTAGATTTATAACTTATAGATGGTAAATGATAAATTCCACCTTGAATCCCTTGTAGATTCATAAATTATAGATTCACCTTAAATCACTTATAGATTTGTGAATGACAGATTCCGCCTTGAAACATTTACATGTATAGATTTGTGAATGATAGATTCTCATGGATTCACTCATAGATTCATGAATGAAAGATTCGCTTAAAATTACTTTTTAAATATATGATTGATAGAGGAGTTATATTTGAAGTATATTTGTTGTTTCAATTCATATATACAAATACTGTAGATGTAACATATATATATTTGTTTGTTGTTGTAATTAACAGGTACGGAGACAGTAGATCCACCATTGATTTATTTGTTTGAAGATGATCATCAAATATCAGACTCTGCAGCATTAATCTATCAGCTCCATAAAAATAAAAAAATCAGGTCAGTTCACTTATTTTGTATTCTTTTAACCAAAACAATTTGTCATTTAAAAAACTATAAAAAAAAAAGATTTCAAAGACATCAAAATAATGTTTAACAATGTTAAATATAACTGACCTACAATGATGACATGATGTCATAATAAAAGTGGCATCAATGTAATGTAATTGTCATGTATTGATTCATGGCTTGTAAGGATCTGATTAAAATAACATCAAGTGATATAATTAAGATAAGATATTATATTCCTATATTTTATTATGTGATCATATTGAGATGAGATGGTGTGAAAACATACTACATTACAGTTTATTTCTTAACTTAATTTTAAAGTTACTACATTGTCGTTTATTTTAATTTTGTATTTAAATTTTTAACTTGTGTGAAATCTATTCACATATCTATAACTGATTAGGTTTGTTTATAAAGGTTTGTTGAAAATATTTATTACAGACATACAAGTACATGTCGAGCAGTGTCTCCTGTAGGTGAAAGTAAAGGTGAATTACTGATAGGTGAAGATAGTGTCTTCTTTGTGGCAGATGAGGCTATAACTGATGCCAACTACACTCAGGTAAAATACATGGACAAAAATGTAAAATCTTACCTAAAATATTGATACTTTAAAGTAATCCTATGTTAACATATTTACACATAGGTATTTCCTTTGTATGACATTTGTATTACATTTATCAAAAGAATAGTAAACATGACTCACCATATTAGCAAGTCAAGGTAATAAATTATCATTTTTATGGAATTGTACAAATTAGTTATTAAATCTATTAAGATGGTTGTAGTTGACCAACTCTAGTTTGACAATTGTGATAATTGATATTGTATTATATGAAGTATGTAAAATTGAATTTCAAATATCTATTGTCATTTGTGTTGATTTAAGAGGTTCAGCATAGATATAGCCTATTATTAGTGTCATACCTGTTTAAACACAAGAGAGGACTTAAAGTCTGCCCTCAATCTGTCTGTCCATTCATTTCACGCACTTAGGAGGCTATAGGAACATCCAGTTTTATTTTGTAACCATTATGTGACTACAAATTCTCTTATATTTCTGAAATAACAATGTAGAGAATAAAAGGAAAATCAGCCGGTCTGTTTCTCCAGCTGTTCATCTGGTTGTCAGGAAAAAACTTGAAAACCATTTATGATATGTTAATGAAACATAGTATGTAAATAGATAGTAATATAGATATTAGAATGAGCATTCTTGTTGCTAAAGTAACAGGCATAGCAAAAGAATAAGGCTAAAAAAGTAAATCTTGGCAGTATACAAGTTTGATGGCTGAAACTTGATATGTAAAATGCATGGTAATATAAAGATTCTCAACAAAATTTTGTTATTTTTCTTCCATCAGATTAAATTCTTGTTAAAGTAATAACAGAAATCATCAAAATAAGGCCTTAAAGGATGGATCCTTGGATAACTAAAAAACTATACTAGAAAACTAATGTGATGACACATTATAATTTGATATATGAATAGCAGGCATGAATATATGTTTGTTTGTTTTCTTTTGTTATAATTATGGTCACTAAGGTAATGGAGATATTTAGAATCTAATTATATGTTTAACTCAACAGCATTTCAGCTAGTTTGATTGAATTTGTTATATCTGTGAATTTATGAGAATATTTTGCTTATAAATGAAAAGAATTTATTAATTTTCCATATGAAAGCCAATCATTGGTGCATGTATCATACATCATTCATTGTTAATGGTTGGGATGAGGGGAGGGGAGGGGGTCTGGTTTGGGGCTTGTTGCTTGCAGTCAGCATCAGTGAGTTTATGTTGTTGCCATCACCCATTATTACCCATTTAAGCAATATATATATATATGAACAACTTACAGGATGTTCAACATCCAGACAGAGTAAGTATTGTGGTCACACCTGTTATATACATTCTAACATAAATTATTGATGTGTACATTTTGAAGCTTTACTAAAATGGAATAGTATTATACTCTACTTCCTTTAAGATAAATTTTACTTTTTGAAAGGATTGTTTTAAAATAAAATAATTGATAAAAGTTTGCCTGATTAATTCAATGGTAAAACTGTAATGATTACTGCTGTCTAGTTTGATTAGTTGATATAGCACTATAATGGTAGAACAACACAATCATTGGTGCAGCTATTACTCATATCTTAATTAGATTCCTTTTAAAAATTGTTGTATTATTGATGCATTAATGATTGCTGTAGATTTATATATTCACACAGTATTGGTGCTTTTTGTATACCAGGTTGCATCATAAAATAAGCTGTCACCTAGTTAAAGAGACCTTTCTAAACTTTGATCTCAAAAAATATCAGATATTTTTTTTATAAACCCTAGATTTGTTTGATAGGTTTGTCAGATTGTATAGAGATTATAATACCCTGTCTCTTATTGCTTCTCATATGTATTCTGTCTTAAATTTGAGATGTGAACATGTCTCAAAATTCAGTATTGTAGTCAATACTCAAAGGCTGTTTCATCATGTTGTAGAGATCTTTATATCTAGTTATGACAGTGTTGTAATAACACTTTAAATTAGATAGACACTTTAAATAAGAATCATAATGCTAGGTAAATTCAATAAAAAAAAGTATCAAAGGTCTCTTTTCACAGCTTTTGCTTCAAAACAAATAGAGTGTTGATATGGATATGTAGAGATCATTTAGACATTATTGTGAAGGGTTCTTTACTATAATTATGAGTATTGGAAAGAGTGTTTGTGTGAAGTGTTGCCGATCTGAGATTTGACTGACAGGGTCATTTTTACATAGTAACAATTATAATATGTGATATAGGGTTGTACTACATGCTGATATATAATTATTTACAAGTGGTGAGCAACTAACCATGATTACTGCTGTATTAATTTTATATGAATATTTGCCTGCTTACCTCAATAGGGAGAGCATCGAATTTGTAAGCCAGGGGTTGCTGATTCAACCTGACAGGATAGGTGAAATTACTTCATGACAATTGATCTTGGACATTAATGGTCATTTGTTTCTCTCTGCTGATTGATGTGGAATTAGTAGTCTGTCTCTTGTGTAATTGTTGTGAAATTTGGTAATTATGGGTTAGTTATCCACGAAAATAGAATAGGTGGAGCCAGCACCGAGATATGACCAAAAATGTGTTATAATCAGCAGATAAAAGAACAGAAAGACAAACAAGCAAACAAACCAAATATGAATCCCTATCAAAAAAACTATGACATACACAGATTTTACTGTCTGGTCCAAGGCAATAAATATATATGAGTGAGTGTGAGCAATGTTCAAAGTTCAAATACATGTAACAAATGATCATAGCCCTTTGTAAATGTGTCAGTGAGAAATTTGTTAGAAATAAATGTAACTTACAACTTATTTTCTATTATTTGTCAGGTGTTACTAGGCAACAAAGATCAGTTATCTATGACATGGCCTTTTGAAGATGTACTAGAGATACACACAAGATGGTATGAATTGATGGACACAGCCATTGAAATCTTCCTTACCAATGGGAAAACCTGTCTACTTGCATTCAAATCTACCAAGGTAATTCTATTCTTACCTTCACATTTACTATACCCACTCTTATATATACTGTTCATTTTGTTGCAATTTTATTTACGTAGAAAAAATATAGAAAATTGAGAAGTCATTTCTGATGATATATTTGTAACAATTGTGTAGGAGAGAGATGATATACATGATATTGTGTAGGCATATATGATAATTATTGTAATTGATGAGCAGAAAGATGATATATTTATGATAATTGTGTAGGATATATTTATGATAATTGTGTAGGTATATATGATATATTTATGATAATTGTGTAGGTATATATGATATATTTATGATAATTGTGTAGGAGAGAGTTAATATATTTATAATAATTGTGTAGGCATATATGATATATTTATGATAATTGCGTAGTCATATATGATATATTTTTGATAATTGTGTAGGAGAGAGATGATATATATCATCATCTGATGGATCTTGAGCTACCAAACAGACGTTACACAGGAAATCTTCTAGATGTTGTCGATAAATGGCAGAATGGACAGATAACAAACTTTGAATATCTCACCTATCTTAACAAGAAAGCTGGCAGAACATTCAACGACTTGATGCAGTACCCTGTGATGCCTTTTATACTCCGTGACTACACCAGTGACACAATAGATCTACGTGATTTTTCAGTGTATCGAGATCTGTCAAAACCAGTGTCTGTACAAGACCCGAAAAATGAACAAAAGTTTAAGATAAATTATGAGGTATATCTTTGATTTATTAATAAACAAGAAAATTAAAGTTCTTCATGAAAAATATATTTAAAAATATATTTTTTGGAGTTTTTTTCTTGATCAGTTATTTAAACAATATATATTCTAGTTTGATTATTTGTCCAAAACCTTGCCATGATAGTGACTTTACTTAGCTTAATGAAAACTTGTATTATATCTGGAAAAAAACATGAATTTACAAATTTGTAAAGGATTTTTAGGTGTGGAATGATTATATTATTAATGATGAATAGTCAAAAGGGTTAATAATTGGCCAAAACGAACATTAACCATTATTGTGAAAATTTACCAAGTTCAAAAATATTAGAAAATATTTCTTTTTGTTTCTCTTATAAGCTCATGTTTCATTTGAGTATATGTGACACATTGTATCAGGTATTGAAGTCCGAGTATGACAAGTTTGGTAAAGAAGGGATCACAGGTCTGAGAGTAGCCCCCTATCATTATGGAAGTCATTATTCTAACAGTGGTGGCGTGCTTCACTTCCTAGTTAGAGTTCCACCATTTACTAAAATGTTCCTCAGTTTCCAAGGTAACCGATTTAATTATACATTCATATTCATTTAATAGTATAACATATGTTTGACTATATTGGCATGGTTTTTGTTTTATACATTAGAAAAGGAAAGTTAAATTTCATAGACTTAGATTTTATCCTTCACTGAAAACTTTAAGCATTTTAATTAGTCTGAAATCATGATTTGTGTTTCTTAATTACATTTGAAAATGATGACTTATAATTGTTCAGTACATTTGCTTTTGAGATTGAATATTTCAACAGATGCATATTAATATATTAAGTTATTATATACCTACATTATTATAATAAATTAGAACCAACTCAGATACAGGAAACTATCCTAAAGGTTAGAAAGCATTGGGATGATAAATCTATTTATAACATGCTTTTTGGTGGTTTATAGAAATGTATCAGTGAAATATAAAACTGATATTTTACTATTTGAAACAGTGAAAATATCAATTTGATATTTTTCACAGTTTTGAATTTAAGCCAGTTACGTTGTTTCAGTAATATACAAGCTTGCACAGTACTGGGAACCAACTTAATGATATGACGCGCTTTTCATTAAGTATCAGGTTAAAATGTCTTTTTAAACGTTTCTTTGCATATAATAAATTGAAAATTTGTTTAGTTTAGTGTAAGATCAAAATATTTTTCACCGAGTGAGCACCAAAAGTTATATAAACAATTAGGAGTGAAATATGAACTTTTGGTGTTCACACAGTGAAATGTATTTTCAAAAATCCTCTATATAAACTAAATATCCTCTATATAAAGTTATATGATTTACAGATAGTAGTTTTGACATTCCTGATAGAACCTATCACAATATTCATACATCATGGCGACTGTCCAGTGCTGAATCTAACACTGATGTGAAGGAACTGATACCAGAATTCTTCTTCATGCATGAATTTCTAGTCAATTCTGAAGGTAAAATTTACACATTTTCTTCATTAAAACACTAAACTTGAGATTTTTTTCTGAGGATATACAAGTTTTTTTTTCTATTGATAATTTATTCCCTGAATTAATAAAAAAGTGGTCTGGCAAGACCCCAATGAAAATATGGGAAAAATGTTTCACTGCAGTGAAAAATATTTTTTACAATGAAATACAGAAAATGAAAATATGCATTTTATTTCATCAATATTTCATTTATAAGTATATGTATATAATTAATGTAGGTATCATAAAGAAGAATTGATATTACAGGATTTGAGTTTGGTGCAAGACAGAATGGTGAGGAAGTGAATAATGTAGTGTTACCACCGTGGTGTGAGGGTAACCCCCGACAGTTTGTTCTCATTCACAGACAAGCATTAGAGTCAGAACATGTGACATTATCTATATGTATGTGGATAGATCTGGTGTTCGGGTATAAACAACGAGGAGAAGCTGCAGTAAAAGCAATCAATGTCTTCCATCCTGCCGTATGTCACTCTCTTTATTCTATTTATATATATGGACATTAATGATTTTAAAATTAGGTTATGGATAATTTTTCTGTTGAAATAATGATATTTTTATTATGTACATAATTATCATATGTAATGAGTGATTTTATTGAGCATACAGATTTGATTAATCTTTTAATATTTTTTAGTATTTGTAAAATAGGAAAAAATTCTTTCATAGTTTATGCGATAAGCTCAATTTTATTTTTAAAATTACTAATTTCTCTTTGTGAGCTGCATTCCATATTTTTGTTTAAAGAAACAAATGCCTGCTATATTTATGTATGGATATAACATGATTTTACTTGATTGATGATTTTTGTTTTGATACAGACATATTTTGGTCTTGATGTAAGCAGTGTAAAGAATTCGCTGGATCGTAAAGCTATACAGACGATGGTACGGACATACGGTCAGACACCGAGACAGTTATTCAAGATACCACACCCTAGACAAAACTTGGCCCTACAATCTATTTCTAACAGACAGACACAGTTTCCAAACAACAAGGTTTGTATCATTGTTTCCTATTTTGTTTAAATATGTTCATTACCATAAGAATATTTGAATGCTGCATTATATTTTATCATGATAAGTTCACAATAAAATTATTGCATTTAGATACAATTTTATAGACCAAAATTATGTTTAAATATTTATATAAAAGACTTGATATTAAAGCAAAATGTCACAGCATCATGAATACAAATGTAAGTGGTAACAGCTTACTGGTAAACATTTGTGATTTTTACAGTATGAACACTTACTATTGTTATTGTGTAGAGAAACATTGTGACATCGTATAAAGAAAATAACATAAAAAGGACATGTGATATTACAGAAATCAGTTAAGACAATTATATGTAAGACTATTGAAAAAAAACATGCAGTAAACCAGACTTATGAAGTATGTAGTATATGCTACAATGTGAATATTAGATTTAGAATTAATTATCTTTTATTTAATTGACCTCAGCATGTATTAGGTTTGAAGTGGGGCTCATACCTTGGTTCCCTGGACAAGCCCGAGCCTGTTGTTATATGGACAGAGGAGTATAAATCACAGGTTGCTAGTCTGATTGCCCTACCAACTAACACAAGTGGTACATCAACAGTGTTTGGTATCAGTAGTAACAGTTGTCTTCTTGTTCAACATAGCCAAGATAAACAGAGAGGTGACTTTTATATATCATATAACATTTTAAAAGATTTATAGTCTGGTATGCATTTCTACTGAATTTACAGTTTTCAGAACTTTTTAGATATCTGTCATCTCTCCTCCCACCTGGGATATTCTGTTTAAATTTGAAACGTTCATGTCACTTAACAAAATTTTTAATTATAGAGTAGAATTTCAATGAATTTTAATTAAGTTAGAAAATGTGTACCTTAAAGAACAGATTTTTCATATAATTTTAAATGATAATGACTCTTGAAGAATAAAAACACACGGCATCTTTGATATTGTGATGAACTTTGATAATGATACAGAACAACTTATTTATAGCTTACATATTTCAACTGAACGCTCACCCCTGGTGTTTGTCTGGGGCTGCCATATTTTAACCTGGGGGTCAACAGATTGGACTGTGTTCGGCATAATCAGATGGGACAAATAAACCCTCCCCTCTTACTTTTAATCAAAATTAAACAGTCTGATGATGGTAAAGGGGAGGAGAACACTAAATGACTGATATTGACATGAAAATGATGTGATTTTTACATATCGGTAAAAATTTTGTAGAATAGAAGGTTGGTCTTATAAACAACTTAAGGACATTATGATTAATCTTGATAACAGTGAAGTAGATTTCGTTTTTGGACATGTTAAAAAATAAGTAAGTAAATATAATAAGGTAAATAGTTCATAGTGCTTAAACAAATGGTTGTATATTTAAATAAGCTAAATTGAATAAATGTGAAATTTGAAAAGTTTTTTGATCCTTCACGGTTTTAACAATGATATTTTGTTTTTTGACACTTTGAGGATTATTTTTTTTTTGTAATCAGATAACATGCTGTGCATCAGTACCAGATCTAAGACATTTATTCTTTGGTGGATCATCAGGGGTGATAACTATATACAACACAAAACACAATCCAGCCAAGGTAAGATAACTATATACAACACAAAACGTAATCCAGCCAAGGTAAGATATCTATATACAACACAAAACCACAATCCAGCCAAGGAATAAAAGATAAACTATATACAAAACAATAAATAATCCAGCACAAGGTAAGATAACTATATACAACACAAAACATAATCCAGCCAAGGTGAATGATTAAACTATTATACAACACAAAAACACAATCCAGCCAAGGTAAGATCACTGTATACAACACAAAACCACAATCCAGCCAATAAGATTCCTATATACAACGCAAAACCATAATTCCAGCCAAGTTGACAGAGTATAAAAAGGAATCTACACCGGCCATGCCGTACAGACGGAAGTATCTAGAGCGTGGGAGGTTAACTGTTTACAATGGTTACGAGGACTCTGCCGGAGGTTTCCGCCAAAACAGTTTGTACCCGAGAGACTAAGGGGGATATTTCTCAGTCTGTACCAACAGCCGCGTGTTTGATTCTTGTTTTCTTGGCATATTTACGTGTTCAAATTATTTTTCGGAACAGGAAAATTTGATGAAAACTTGAGAATATTTCTTCATGTGACAGCAATTTAGTTTTGTATTATGAAGTAGCGTATAAAATACCAATTTCATTGCATAACATGAAAAATGACGTCCATCCTAAAAGAGGAACGCATTTTCATGCAATAAAAGGCGCGCATCAATGACTTCATTTTGTTAAAACACGCGACTTGATCTTACATGAGGGTACGTAAGACAAAGAGTTTTGCTTAGCGCACCGGTTATGTTAAACGTAGATAAATCCTAGTCTTGATATGCAAAGGGGGAAAACTATCACAACATATGTTTGACAACAATTTCAAATAGGGAAAGGTCTTAAGACTATGATACATCTGCTGAATACAATTAATAATGTGTGATAAAGTAAGATAACTCCACACAACACAACACATCCTGTGTTTTGAAATTCATGTCAGTCAGTTGTATTGTTTTGTACTATATTTATGTTATCTACTGACTGTTAATGATTTGCTGTATAAGATTTTATTGTATCAATTATTATATATTACAGGAGAGTGAGCTTCAGGTATTTGGTCACAAACGTTGCCTGTATGGTCATAAACGATCTATCAACTGTCTAGTGGTGTGTAAACCATACAGTATTATGGTCAGTGCTAGCCAAGATGCTACATGTATTATCTGGGATCTAAATAGGTATTGTACATAAATATCAATCTTAGTCACAGATGAGCTTTAGATTTATCATATCTTAGTTACAGATGACCTTTAGATGTATCATTTCTTAGTTACAGATGACCTTTAGATGTATCATTTCTTAGTTACAGATGACCTTTAGATGTATCATTTCTTAGTTACAGATGAACAAAATATGTATTATGTGATGAACTGAACGATAAATGTATTATATAATGGCTTGTTGCAAGAGATGCCCTACATAAAAAGACCAAGTTTACAATATCGAGGGGTGAAAGCGAAAGAAGTCTAAGTGCATATCTGTAAATTTTTCAGGAGAGGCAAAAACTGTCGTTTTTTTTCAGGTATATAATAGTAATTATCATTTGTGTACCCTGAATGAAAATCAGTTATTATTGTACATTAAAATAAATTACTTGAAAAAAAACTGGAAGAAAAAGATTATATTGTAAAATGTACTTAGACTTTTTTCGCACTCAAACATATTGTCAAGAATATCCACAAACTCTGGTAAATGCGAAAAAGTCTAAGTGACTGAAAATAGGAATAAAACACCTTATTTAAACCAGAAATGGTTTAATACAGAATACGTTTGATCATACTTACTATTGTCTGAATATAGAATAGGAAAGAAATAATTATAAATTTCAAAAAAAAAATCACTTGGACCTGTTTTCGATTAAATGGTCATTTAAAATTGCCTTATAAGTAAGTTGGACATTTGAACCTATATTAAACCAGATACATTTCATTCTTAAAGGAAAAGGAATATTGAAGTTTATATAATTCTAGAACTAATTTAGGTTTCTACATATATCATCACAATTAAGAGAACTGCCATTTAGTTTCTAAAATAAAATGGCATGTTTTTGTCTATTGTGATTATAAACAGAAAAGATTTAGTTGATTACCATATAGATCATCACCAAAACAGATCTGGAAGGAATTGATGTTCTTCAATTCTAATGTTTAACGCAAAATGAAAAATGGTCAATCTAAAATACAATGTAATAATGCTTAATTGTTAACGCATATGTATGTGCAATGTTTAAAGTGAATATGTTAAATAAAAACTATTGAAGGCAGTTTACAAGGCAGTTTACCATAAAATGGATTTTCAGATTAAGCACTCGCACTGGCAAGAGACTAAGTAATTAAGACTAGTAATCAAAAAGTCTTTAATTGATATATGTACAGGAAATACAACCCACTTGTTGCCAAAAAAAAAAAAAACTGTTTCAATTCTGCACCAAGTTCACCACAAAGTGCCATTTCTCTATAATTTGAAACAAAACGACTTTCAAAATCAGCAAAGGATGTTAGATTATTTTTTGGCAAGACTAAAAGAAAATCATGTTTATATTTATGCAAGCATTTTTGTACAGGGGTATAATATTGTCCACAACAAATTACGATTTACAGAAAAGTCTGAAATTTGATTGATGAACTTAATTATTTGACAGATTCATAAATTATATAAATTTAAACAAGAAATTGTTGTCTTGCAATTTTTAAGATGACATGACAGATATCAAACTGAAGCTTGAGATTGTCAAATCTCATCTCAACAATATGTAAATATTGAGACTGGTTATAACCTGTAAAATGATCCTGATTAATTTGGAATTATATAATCGATCCAAAGTCAAAAGTAGTAAAAAAGATTGGTAATAGTAGTCGTGCTTGTATTAATGGTGCGTATTGATGGAAGTGGCAATACGCAATGTGAGTTGTGGTAATGATTATATAGTCTCACACATTCAATCACTGTCACTTCTACAGTATCAACAACTTCAAGTCACTGCCTATAGGTATCAGCACAGCTGAACAATTCCACAAGTCCAACTCACAGATCACTGTCACTGCTGCAGTATCAACAGTTAACAATTCCACAAGTCCAACTCTACAATCACTGTCACTTCTACAGTATCAACAGCTAATATTCTACAAGTCCAACTCTACAATCACTGTCACTGCTTCAGTATCAACAGGTAATAACAATTCCACAACGTCCAAACTCTACAATCACTGTCACTGCTACAGTTATCAACAGTTAAATAACAATTCACAAGTACCACTCTACAATCGACTGTCACTGCTACAAGTATCACAGTTAAATAACAATTCTCACAAGTCCAACTCTAACAATCACTGTCACTGTACAGTATCAAACAGTTTATAACAATTCTCACAAGTCCAACTCTACAATCCAGTGGTCACTGCTACACGTATCCACAGTTAATATACAATGTCCCACAAGTCTAACTCTACAATCACTGTCATCTGCTACAATGTATCAATGCAGTTAATAACAATTCCTACAAGTCCAACTCTAGCAATCAGCTGGTCACTGCTACAGTATCAACAAGCAGTTATATACAAATTCCACCAAGTTCCAACTCTACAATCAGTGTCACTGCTACACTGTATCACCAGTTAATAAAATTCCACAAGTCCAACTCTAGCAATCACTGTCACTGCTACAGTATCAACATGCCAACAATTCTATCAACTCTACAATCACTGTCAACTGCTACATGTATCACAGTTAATAATCAATCCACAAGTCCAACTCTACAATCACTGTCACTGGCTACAGTATAACAGTTAATAAACAATTCCACAAGTCCAACTCTACAATCAGTCATCACTGCTACAGTATCACCAGTTAATAACAATTCCACAAGTCCAACTCTACAATCACTGTCACTGCTACAGTATCAACATGCAACAATTCTACAAGTCCAACTCTACAATCACTGTCACTGCTACAGTATCAACAGTTAATAACAATTCCACAAGTCAACTCTACACTCACTGTCACTGCTACAGTATCAACAGTTAATAACAATTCAACAAGTCCAACTCTACAATCACTGTCACTGCTACAGTATCAACATGCAACAATTCTACAAGTCCAACTCTACAATCACTGTCACTGCTACAGTATCAACAGTTAATAACAATTCCACAGTCCAACTCTACAATCACTGTCACTGCTACAGTATCAACAGTTAATAACAATTCCACAAGTCCAACTCTACAATCAGTGTCACTGCTACAGTATCACCAGTTAATAACAATTCCACAAGTCCAACTCTACAATCACTGTCACTGCTACAGTATCAACATGCAACAATTCTACAAGTCCAACTCTACAATCACTGTCACTGCTACAGTATCAACAGTTAATAACAATTCCACAAGTCCAACTCTACAATCACTGTCACTGCTACAGTATCAACAGTTAATAACAATTCCACAAGTCCAACTCTACAATCACTGTCACTGCTACAGTATCAACAGTTAATAACAATTCCACAAGTCCAACTCTACAATCACTGTTACTGCTGCAGTATCAACAGCTAAAGTCCAACTCTACAATCACTGTCACTGCTACAGTATCAACATGCAACAATTCCACAAGTCCAAATCTACAATCACTGTCACTGCTACAGTATCAACAGCTAACTATTCCACAAGTCTTGCTCTACAATCACTGTCACTGCTACAGTATCAACAGCTAACAATTCCATAAGTCAAATCTACAATCACTGTCACTGCTACAGTATCAACAGCTAACAATTCCACAAGTTTAACTCTACAATCACTGTCACTGCTACAGTATCAACATGCAACAATTCCACAAGTCCAACACTACAATCACTGTCACTGCTACAGTATCAACAGCTAACAATTCCACAAGTCTAATTCTACAATCACTGTCACTGCTACAGTATTTACAGCTAACAATTCCACAAGTCTAATTCTACAATCACTGTCACTGCTACAGTATTTACAGCTAACAATTCCACAAGTCTAATTCTACAATCACTGTCACTGCTACATGTATTTTACAGCTAACAATTCCACAAGTCTAATTCTACAATCACTGTCACTGCTACAGTATCAACATGCAACAATTCCACAAGTCTAACTCTACAATCACTGTCACTGCTACAGTATCAACAGCTAACAATTCCACAAGTCTAACTCTACAATCACTGTCACTGCTACAGTATCAACATGCAACAATGCCACAAGTCTAACTCTACAATCACTGTCACTGCTACAGTATCAACAGCTAACAATTCCATAAGTCCAAATCTACAACCACTGTCAGTCTGCTACAGTATCAACATGCAATAATTCCACAAGTTCAACTCTACAATCACTGTCACTGCTCCAATATCAACGCAAGTCTAACACTACTATTATTAACACTTCTAGGGTACCCCCTAGTCAATTGGTTAAGATAGCCAGCTTCAAAACACTTCTCCCTCACTACTGTGGGTTCAAATTACATAAGGAACTTTGTATTCTTTCATTTGAAAAAATGTATCCAGCTAGGATGGTGGTTCTACTTGGGTGCCTCAAATAGGGCATGATGGTCTTCCTTTACCATTTTATGCTGGAAAGTTGCCATGTAACCTTTACAGTGTTTATGTGACAAACAAGCAATCCAAACTATCAATGCTGAAGTGTTCACAGCTAACATTTCCACTAGTCTCTCAATACTATCAATATAACTGCTACAGTATCAACAGCAAACTACACTGAAATGTTACTTCTTTGATTACAACTTTTAATACTTTTACATTTTGTATCGACAGTATCACTGCTTTACAACCACTAAAATAGCAATAATTGACGCACCTCAATCACTATTGCTGACTACGGTATCTTCAGGCTTTATGAGTCAAACCACATAGCGTTCTCCTTTACTTAGCTACAGTAATTTTTCAGTTTACTATCACATAGTACTAGTATAACTGAAGATTCTGTAGCAAATGATAGTGAAAGTGACTACTAAGACTGGCTATTTTACCCATGCCTGAAAATTCATCTAGCATGGGGGTGCCAGATGAGTCACATGGTATACAAGTGGCATTCTTAGGATGATACACAACATCAAAAGTTCCAACTTTAATTATTTTTATTATTATTAAGATGTAACCTGAAGAAAGTAGTGATAAATGCCCGAAAATAATTTGTTAAAAAGTAGAAAAATGTAAACAAAAGTAGTATTTTGAATTCCATACAAATTCACTGTAAACTGCAGGGACCTATTGTCAAAAACGAACAGATGAAACATATGGTTCGGCCTGAGATGTTTGGATCTTATAATGTACATCAAAATTAAAATGCGTTTGAGAAATAAAAATAAAAAGCATTTCTGAGGCAAAATGGGCCCCTTTATGTTGATTAATAAAAATAAGCCAACTTTTTTTAAAAACATAGAAATTTTCAAAATCACTTTATCATTTGGCAGTTACTATTTTCTTCTTCTGAATGCAACAAAAAAAGGTTTGCTTATTTGTACATCATACATAACAAGAGCACCGCTAGGCAGGAGCATTATATGCCGAAAGTGTTTTTTTTTTAGGATCGCGAGTGAAGCAATTTGTAAAGACATTGGGAAAAAATAAAGTATTCCACTTCAAATAGAATCTCCTTTGAAGTTTAAATATTGTGGGCCTAATAGATCATCAAGTTATGCTCTTGAACTGTTTTCAGTTTGAAAGTAAAGTGACTTTGGACCTTGTGACCCAAAATCAAAGGGTCTTTCTACCCAATATGGACAATCATCCTATGAAGTTTGAACACTGTGGGCCAAATTGAACTTAAGTTTTGCTCCTGTAACTGTTTTCAGTTTTAAGGTAATAGTGACTCCAAAATAAATAATAATACCCAATATTATGAAGTTTGAACACTGTGGGACAAATGGAACTTCAGTTATGCTCCGGAAACTGTTTTCAGTCTTAAGGTAATAGTGACCTTGACCTTTGACCTTGTGACCAAAATTAATAGGGGTCTTCTACCCAGTATGGACAATCATTCTATGAAGTTTGAATATTGTGGGCCAAATGGAACTTAAGTTATGCTCCGAATACCAAATTGCTAAACGGATGGACGGGTTGAAATTCTTTCGGGCATATCAAAATGTGTAAGATGAACATTATGAAGTTGACTAAGACTGCTTTCCTTTTACAATTAACTGATTGTTAAAAGCAAATCTGCAGTAATTCATAATATGTGCTGATAACAATGTAAGGATGTGCCTAAGAAGGCTAAGATGCTATAGTACATGCATTACTTATGTGTTATTCGCGACAAATTGTGCCATATCTAGATTAGCTACATGAGATAAATTAAAGGATGCTTCTATTTGATTATAAATGTGTATTTTGGGTACCAATCTATGTTCAGGATCATGAACTATGCACTGTATTTATAAAAGTAAAACAATGATAATCATGATCATTGTCACTGATACATACTTTGCCTTTTAAATATGAGGTAATTAACAATTTTTTCTAGTATGATCGCTTATCAGTCTCTCAATTTGTATTTTGTCACAAACCCAAAATGTTCAATTATATGTGTATTATAAACAAAAACATCCTTCCTCTAACCCAAATCTGATAACATTTTGTTCTTGCATTGCTGCTGTTTACTATGTTAAACCCCAGTCATACTAGAGCTTACAATTACTTGCGACTATCGGCCATGTGTAAAACCGACGATCATCGGTGATTGTCTGCAACCAAGTCCTCTTTGAACAGATAAATTTACTTCTGCAATTATAGTACGACCAATCATCATTGACAATCGCACGACAGGTCATCAGCAAACGTACGATGGTCTCAAGATTGCCTGGGATTACTTACGACTACCCGTGACCTGTCATGTGATCACCTACAACTTGTTGTACGACCATCACACGATTACTAAAGACTACTCAAGATTATCAGTGACTTAGTGGCAATTTGTAAAGACTGTCGTAAGATTGTCTCACTTTCGAGCGACAATCATGCGACAGCCTAAGACTTTATAAGATCACTAGCAACCTGTTTGATGGCAGAGAGGTTTTTGTGCAAGCTCAAAAACCTCTCTATGAATGAAATTGGTTGTGGGACGACCATCGTAAGAGTTTTAAAGATTGTCTGCGACCAGTGGTCACTGGTGATTGTGAACTGGTCTTTACTGGTCGAAAACTCTAATGTGACTGGGGCTTTACTTGCATTAATTTATACCAATCTGTCCCTTATTAACGTTACGGATCTGACGGGCAATAACAGGAGGTCACCTTCTCATGAATCTTTAAACTGCCAATCATCGGTAAGCTTTCACAATTTTGAAAGTGTTGCAGTTTCTAATTTTAATCGCTGGAAAACCAATACAGAGTAGGTAATTTTGATGATTTCTAGAACAGGCAAGGTGTTGTCCATATAGCCGGCAGGTAAACTGGCAAAACATAATCTTGCCCAGTAAAAATTGAGTCAGTTATTTCCATTTATTTGTTTCAAATTACTTCAATCATTTTTTTTTTCGAACAAAAATGAACAATTTCTTTTTTTTGAACAAAAATGAACAATTTGTTTTACTTCCATTTTAAGCAATTAAACTGTATAGACAGAGATACTTTGTCTAATGCCTATCTGTAAAGGATGGTTTGATAACATGGCTTGAAATAACTTTTCCATGAAATGAAGGTGAAACAAATAAAGTGGCAATCAGATCTACATGCAAGAAATAACTTAAGTAGTTCTGAACTTTTTAGGTACATGCAGTTACAGTGAATTTGTTTGGGAGTCAAAATACTACTTTGTTTACATTTTTCTACTTTTATAAGCTTGACTGTTCGATATGGTTTGAATAATATATCAAATTATTTGAGACAGATCCACCTTATACATTTTAAAATACTGCTTAAATCGACTTTAGAATAACTTAAAATGTCACATTATGAAGGGTAACATTCTCTTCCAAAAGTAATGAACATTGACTTTATAACATGAAATAACACTTATATCATTCATGTTTTTAATATTTTTGTCAATAGGCAAACATTTTTTCACTTAGACTTTTTTCGCATTCAATTACTAGAGTATACACAATTTCAGCACTTAATACGAAAAAAGTCCAAGTGAAAAAAATACATGAAAATATGCAAAAATGATATTATCTTATTATCAGTACTACTTTTATCAACAGTAATCATTATAAAACATACTTTAAAACTGAAAATGAAATACTGCTTATATTTTTTGTCACTTAGACCATCACATTTTTTTTTTAAATAATTGCGAAAAAAGTCTAAGTGACAATGTCCACTTAGACCTTTTTCGCATTGACTGTTTTTCATATTTCACTTAGTCTTTTTTCGTATTTTTTAAATATATATAAAAATTAATGTGTTGTGTTCAAGATTTTTTCACAGAAGATGTATATACAGATTTTAAACACATTTATATAAAAAAGTGATTTTCTGAAAAAATGTCACTTAGACCTTTTTCGCTTTCACCCCTCGATATACCATTACTGGTCATTGTAGACAGACTGTGTATTCCTGCATTTGTACATTTATATTTTGTTTCAGCTAAAAACAGTAAATAGCGTGAAAAGCAAATGACAAATTATGGTAATACCATATGCTTTTTAATGGTAATAATTTTTTGTTTCATTAATTACTCATTGATGCCAATTTCAAATTTTACATACATGTACTTTGTTTTTCCAGACTGTCATATGTTCGCAGCATCAAAGGTCATAGGTCAGGGGTTCAAGTTCTGGCAGTAAGTGACACACTAGGAGATATAGCAAGTGCTTGCCAATATGGTAAGAACATTTTGATACAGCAACTGTTTGGTATAAATATAACCTTCAGTATAAGAATGTTTGTTTAGAAAAGTCATCAATAATTTGGCATGTAAAATTGTTATATCCTTTTTGACGGCCATAGCGTAATAAAACGTACCGAAAAATCGACTTCTCAAAAGCCGGGCGCTATAGTCATAAGAAGGCTATAAAGTAATAAACCGGTATAAAATGTTGGCTTCCTGAAAGTCACTACTGTTTTGTTGTAGGAAGGCCACCAAAATTTAGTTTTAAGTGACTTAATTCTTAAAGTTTACCTTTCATTTATTTCATTCTGTTAAATGTTGTTCAAGTAAAAACACCAAATATGTTAATTGTATAGTGCCCTTTATTGACAGATATAGTAAATGTTTAGATATACAGTACATTTTTTAATTAATGTGTTTATCAAATCGATATCAAAATTAATTGAAGAAAATCTTCTAAATGGTATAGTATTTTAAAATGCATTTATTGATACATCAAACGGAGTTTCTGTAAGCAGTTCTCTTATTTGAAACAAAAATGAGTTGAACTTACAAAATTCACGTTGAAAAGCATAATATCAATCACCCTTCCTGAGAAAAATTGATTTTCATTGATTTTCAATAATTAAGTTTTAAAAAGTTGTGGACGTTTTACTCAGTAGGGTATTCTAATGGGCTATATCGATAAATAACGTATAATTTACCGTTTTAAAACGTTCAGAACTTGTTTTAAAAAACAAGGATTGTGAGTCTGTTTATTGCAGTTGAATGTAATATTAACAGTGTTATATGGTATGGCTTTGTTGTGTATCGTATGCAGTTGAACAGCTATAGCGTAATATTTTGATTTTTCATAAACACATTAAAAAACCAGAATGTAGGAAAACAAGGTTTTTATGGGTTTGCATGACACAAAATTCAAGTTTTACGCTGGTTTATGCTACGGTTTCTAGAAAGATATATTTTTGATACGTTTTACTACGCTATGGAGGTCAGGTCGTAAAATAAGACTGGCTTTCAGAAATGTAAAAATTTGATACATTTTCTTACGCTTTGGGCGGATGGCTGTCGAAAGGATATTTGCTATATTTGCATAATTAGATTATTAACTGGCCATTGTATATTGTTTTTTGCAATTACACTCTTGTTAGAGGTGTCAGAGGAAGTGAATTTTATTTGCAAAATTTCAAATACCAGAAAGACATTTTCTTATATCTGCATTTGCTTGTAATCATTTCTTGATGTGTGGGTTTAGTTTTGAAATTTTCTGCATAGATTTCAATAGTAGTTGATGAGAGTTTAATAAAGATAGTGTGTATTAAAGTAATTGTTTTATTTCGGACAATTTTGTTATATACAGGAATGGGAAGTCAGCTATATATACATACTGTGAATGGTGAATACGTTGCCAAGGTAATGTGTGAAGAAACCATCAATTGTTTAACATATTCTACTGCAGCAGAGGGTGTGTCTATCAATGTAATAGCTGGAGGTTTGAGTTCAGGTGTTGTCAGGTGAATTATTTTATTCTACATTAATATGAAATGTTATCTTATTAACTTATGTCACAGACAGGGATTCTATGTACATGCAGCTGTAAAACATTGTATATAAAATATCTGCTGTGCTTGTGCAGATTGATTTTAAAATTGATCAAATAAGTAATAAAGTAGATGTATCGCCATATATTATTAATTATAAAGATTTTTGACAGGTTATACAACCCTATATAAACAGTTGTTTGGAAATATCAGTTTTAAGAAATAATTATAACGCATTTATAATACAACAAGCATCTTTTTTAGAGAAAAAAAAGTGAGATTTCTTCCTAAAATTACAGCAGCTGTGTATATAAATCTGTATAATTGTCACGATTATCCAATGAAAAGTGACATTACAAATGTGCAGTATTATAAACATAATTTTTCTAATTCTATTCTAACATGTTTGTATATATTTTGTGAATTGTTATTTAATCTATGCTTCGTGCACCTAGCTCTACTATACATGTATATTTTACAATATTCTAGAATGTGGAGTAGCTGGGATCTTAACCCTGTCAGAAATCTGGAACATGGCTCATCTCCTGTTATAAGGTAAGACAATACAAATCCATATTTACAAGGTTATTCTAGGTGTAAGGAGTCTAAACTAATCATACAAATGAGGGAAAGTTTCTGAATTTGTAAATAAAATATGAAACATAATGTAGTTGTGATCACTTCCTATCTTAACACTTCTTTTAACAATATTTCCTCCTGGACTTCTGAGTCTACATCACAAGTGCTTCATAAGACTGTTCACTGGATGATCAAAATAATAAAAGAATTCCTTGCAAAACCTTCAATGCCATCCCAAACAAAAGGAAAATGTTCATGAAATATTTTTGTCAGAATAACAGAAATTGTTATTGGATGAGCCTCTGGATAATTGACATTACGCCGCCTGTCAATCAAGCTGGCAGGGGTTTTACAGATAAGCCAATCGGCGATCGTTATCAGTTTCACACTAAGATGTCTTAGAAGTCCGCCATTTTCCTTAGACAAGCTTTTTGTATAAGACAATGGTGGAGCAGTATTTATAATGAAATTATTTTGATTTTTTGTCAATTAAAATCTATTAAAACGGGTTATCTAAGTTACAAAATATCCTGACATAGTGATAGATGGAGTCAGTTAGTTCATTTTACAAAAACAAAAATATCAATAACTTTCTATATATGAAGATAATAAGTTATATAGCAGGTACGAAAGTTAAAACTGGCTATACCACATTGCATTAAACAAGGAAAAAGTTTAAACAAATACTCTTTTCCTTCCTTCCTTCATTACAATTATGTAAATTCATAATCACATAATATATTATAAGGTCTCAGAATATCCAAATGATATGACATTTTTTGCTCGTTCTTAACATAGTGTCTATAAAATGCTGCAGTAGAAAGAAATACTTGCAAATAAAATGAGAGAATTTGTAATAAATATTTTAGGTGAAATTATCCTATCTAAATATTTCTATTAAAGCTATATGAATTAAGATTTAATAATAAAATACATCTGCTTCAATAACATCATATCTGATCACGGTTTTAATTAAAGACGGTTTTAATTTAAAGCCGAGGTCTGGTATATGCGAAACTTATTTTGAAGTGAATAATATTGTGTTTTATCACGAAAATATCTAATGTACAAATAAACATATAATCTTATATCATACAACAAAGTTACGCAAGGGCAATTTTCTCATTTAATTTTGACAATTTATGCACAAATGCATTACATATAAGTGATTTTGCATATAAAACCCCAAAAACATTTGTACATGTTACTGTTTCATTGATATAATTTTACTTTTATATGTTCCGCTTCATCAATTTTAACCATCTTTGAATTTGTAAACTAAAATTATATTTTGTCAGTAACATCTTCCTAGAAGTCAGCGAGAAATATAACAAAATCTTTTCCAAACGTTTTATTCATCATTAATGCGTGAATGCAGTTATTTGTTACTTTTTTTGAATACCATAATACATTGAACTATCCAATAAAAGCATTACAGTTTTATATATACCAAATTATATAAGGTTAATTCATTAGTCACTTAAAGTGTATTATGCTATATCTTTGATGTGCTATGATTGGAAATTTTTTGTTTATATTATGATCAGAATAAATACAAAATACCTAGAAAAGAAGGAAAATTGCATACCTATTTACTGACATTGAATGAAACATGCTCTATATAATCAATAAACCAAGTGAAAATAGAAGGGGAATATTTTCTCCAGGAATGTTATATTCTAATTTACCTACAATAAACATGTGTGTTTATTAAAAGAATCATTATATGTTACAACTTTTTCGAAAAATCACCATACTGTTATGAAAACAAGGTAATTTTGCTATTTTTAAATATTTACAAAATTTTTCATCAGATATAGCTTTATACACTTTAAGTGGCATGACAGTTTCGCGTAAATGTCGGCACCGTCTTTTGTCTAAGGTTCTGAATGACCGGGTCACGTGAATCAGTGGGCGGAGCAATCTCTTCTCTGGCGTAATGTCAATTTTGTTGTGTTGCCCTTAATCTATATAGAGAAAACATAGCAAATCTTCTTATAAACATTTTAGAGTAGTTATAAAGATCCATCAACATTATAACTGTAGGTCATTGACCAAGATACTTAAATCGTGTATTCTTTTAATTTCCTTTCTGAACTAAGACAATTCCTACATGGTCTTTGTTTTACTATTGAACTCTATGGAGTGTACTGTTTGTCTGAAAGTTCTTGTTTGTGGTCTATTTTAGTGCACAATATTCATTTACTCCCTTTATGACATTAACAGTGTTGCCATGGCTTAAAACCCAGCTGAAAATAAATCAATTTTGTCATATATATTTCAGTTTGACGTTCACAAAGGATTCTCAGAAGTTGTATGTGTCAAGTAGTGATGGTCGTGTGAGATTGTGGGACTACATTGGGCAGCCAAAACTAAAATCTAACAGATTGTTCAAACCCTACATCTTCTGAAAACCTCAGACATCCATTATACAAAACGAAACAGATTATATAACAGCAAACAATCAACTTTTAAATACTTCAGGACTTTAGCATGTTTTTTCTCTTCATAGATTGCAAATGTTTCAGTACAAGAAATTAGTTGAACAAGACAATAGGATATTTAAAATATAATTTACAGAAATAATAATATACCTGTTCGAGTAAGGGACCTGTGCTTTATGTTTTTAACAGGAAAGATAAAATACATACAGATTATATTCACTTTAGTATGACATAAAATATCTTAATGAATTAAGGAATTATTATTATATAAATGGTGACACTCACTTACTTAGAATAACTCTACCCTAAATGCTGTACAAACAAGGTCCAGTTGGCACTTTGATTTTTTTTTATGTTGGAAAGCTACACACTACACTGCTTCTTACTGGAGATAGGTAAGTTCTTCTCTCAAGTGGCTGCTTGTCTAGAAGGAATGCATAGTGAAGCACCCACCAATCATGACAATCCTGTGTGTTTTAGAATTTAACCAAAATAAATGTATGTTTGCTATACTTGTCTATGTTATAAGAACAAAGTTGTTTTAGCACCCCTTTTAACAAATTGACATTTTTCTGAAGTATATATATATATATATATGCATTCTTAACCTCTGTTTCTTCTGTGATTCACTCAAGTTTAAAATACATTAGAAAAAATTTTACCCAAAAACCCATTTCATTCAAGGATGTGATATGTTCAGATTACCGGGCTTGCTCTGTAGTAGTTTAAATTTTTTGAAGATTGTATACAGTAATGGTAAGGCTTCAGACATGTCAGTATTATGTCTGTTTACTTAATACAGCTCTTATTACAGCTTGTTTTGTAAGCCATTGTATTCTATAAGTATAAATTTTACTGTATTTTCCAGCATCTGAAATTTATAAATAACTGCATATCTTATGAACTACAGTCTACTAAGTGACTCATGTTTAGCAAATATATTTAAAAATGAGCATATCTAGTCATATATTTATTCTGGTCTAAACACAGAAACATTTTTGATGAACTATAAATAAATATGTATAGAAAAGTTTTCTTGTAATAAAGTTTTAAATGTAAAACTAACACTGTAATGTTTTTATGTATTATTTATACCATGAAGTTATTTTCAGTTAATTTTCTGTTAATAAGTCTTCCTTATTTCTTTATGTGTAAATTGCTGTGTTATAAGTATAAGGACAAAGTTTAAATGTTTGTAACTTATATGTAAATATAGTGTTTGTTTTATATAAATAATGCTACTGTCATGATGTTTTTATATCCTTCACAATTGTTGTAGTTGTCTAAACGATCAAAAGATTTGTTTATCAGTTAAAGATATAGCAACAGTACTGGATGTTTGATGTTTTATATATAAACTCTTTGGTTCAAATATTTAGACTGCATTGACTTATTCACTGGTAGAATATAAAGTGTGCATACACATTTCTATAGGGCAGTCTTTTAAATAAGTATATGTATATGTACATTGTTCTTTTATTTTCTTATAGAAATCTTTCTTTTAATAAGAAGTATAGTGATAAAAGGTTATACTTTGTTGTATGAATTTGTACTGACTGAGTTTGAAATTTTATTATAATGATATAAATAGTGCAATAGAGTAAAGTTAGAACAAGCTGTAGGAAGTGTTTTAGAATTGCTTTATTCAAGTGTCCACAATTTGTGCATCTGTAATGTACTTTTTATATGTTTAGATAATTCTTCTAAATGTTCAATTATTTATTATCTACATTATTAAAGAAAAAAAAGAATATTGTCATTGTGAGATATTATATCCATTATTTTCTAATATTATATCATATATAGGCCATATCTTATCTACATCTAAAATGTTCAAATTTCTTTTACTTTTGAGATGGACAATTATAAATAATCACCACATAACAAATATTGTGTTAAGAATTATGAGACATTAGTGAGTAGGGTACATTACTAGATTATAAATATGCAGGTATATACTAATTTATTTACTCATTGTCATCTATATAGCAATGCATCAAGATATATATTAACTTTTTGAAATATACCATTTTTAGAGACTTCATTATGTTTGCCTAGTTTAGGAGGCTACACAATGTTGACCTAGTTTTAGAGATTACACACTGTTGACCTAGTTTTACATGTTACACAATGTTGACCTAGTTTTAGAGGTTACACACTATTGACCTAGTTTTAGATGTTACACAATGTTTACCTAGTTTTAAATTTAGAGATTACACAATGTTGACCTACTTTTAGAGGTTATACAATGTTGACATAGTTTCTGAGGTTATACAATATTGACCTAGTTTTAGAGGTTACACGATGTTGACCTAGTTTTAGAGATTACACAATGTTGACCTACTTTCAGAGGTTACACAATGTTCACCTAGTTTCAGAGGTTATACAATGATTTAACACTTACAATGTTGACTTAGTTTTAGAGCGTGCACAATGTTGACCTAGTTATTATGTTTGTTTACCATATCATTTACCATGTTCTATGCATTTAGTTCTGTATTAATGTACAAAGTTATATTCTCTATGATTTCTCTACCCTTATATAACAAATATACCACCAATGATTGACATTGGGGCCATAACAGTGTGCAATATGTGATTTATTGTATAGGGTAATGTAGTTATAGGATAGCTCCTTAATCAATGTTGATAGTTATTCGGCTTCATGTATTTGCTATCTAATATAAGTGTTACGTGTTCTAGTGGTCATTTATTCATGACATAATGTGTATGTTTATACCAGATTAATGTACTGATTTTAAGACTGTCTTGCAAGTTTCTATACAATGAGATACAAGTTCATGCTGGACTCTAAAGTGTGTGGCTTTTAGATCAAATACATGCTTGTAAATCATAAATTGTAATTAGTTTTATTAGAGATGACCTTTATGTTTGAGTATAAACATTTGCTTGTGATATATTGAAATTATCTAAATAGATTATTTACATTTAACACCAATGCATTATAATGTTATACAGATTGATCTTATGAGTAAACAATAGGGCTATCCTAGTAACACAATGTTGCATGTGATTTGACTATAAGTTTAATAGTCAGTATAATTATATCATTCCATTTACACATTCAAAGTATTATAGTATCCAATATCTTTGTGTATAAATTCAATTTTTGATTTTGATCAAGTATTTGAATTTTTTCACTTGCCAAAAACAGAGTAAAAGAGTGACTGTGATGTAATGGCATTAAGTATGAATTCAGCAAAATGTTGTAGATTAAGCTAAGAATCGTAAAGTATTGGACACTACAATACCTAGACATAACTGTTATAGATTTTTAGAATATTTATAGTAAGGATAAGGTATACTGTTCTTTGTTATCTATTATTATGTTTATATTTGATTGAGTCATCAGTAAAATGTGTACTGATAAAATTATTTACATGTCTTTTGTTGTTTTTCCCCCTAAATCCATGTCAGTGACGGTTTTTCCTGACACTAGTGTCAGCAAAGGATGGTCCGAAATGTGTGTTCGTTAGGGTCTGTGTAAATTTTAGTCGAGGAATACTTTGTAATGAAATCAAAAACTTGTGTTGGTAAAGAAACTTTCATCATTTAGGGTTTGTCCATGGTCTTTTGTTCAAAATCCTGTATAAGTGAGGTGTTGTTCCAAAACCTTTCGGTGTAAAAAAATTATAAAAAGTTTTGAAAATAGACAATGTCATTTAAGATTATTTTTTTTGTAGCATTTAAGGTTTTTCCAAAAACTGAGTAAAGTTTATTGTTATCCGCACCATTGTCGAAAACAAGTTTAAGCTAGGATTTGTGCAACAAAAAAGATTTTGAGTAATCCTGTACCAAAGACTGCAAATAAGTCCAAACCTGACGGCTTTAAAATATCAAGCCGTTTTGGGCGTTCTAAGAATTCCCTTTTCTTTAGTAATTGCTGATATTCTGAGTCACGGAGTGATTTTTATAAAAGACTTATGTCAGTGAATGTCCAATTCTTTACCATTGCAGTATTTCAGAATCTGTTTCAGTTTGGATTTACCTTTAAACCAGCCTTGTTGGGAATCCTCAAAGTTCAAATATCTTATTCAGCGAATATTCAATTACCAGTGTCGATTTCCAAAATATCGTAGCAAAGGGTATTCAAAATTATCATATCGGTTAAGAAGGATTTTGTCCTTCGGGGTCAATGAAGTGTTGAAAATTGAGTACCGATCAAGCCGGTGCTAGGGGGCATGAGGGATGTTGCACTTTTTCATTATCCCTCATATACAGACTCAATAAAACCGAATCTGCAATTTTCATGTACATGTAATTGTGCTGTGATTAATGCTTCCAATGGATCACACATTTTCCAGATATTTATACCAAAGTTGTCAAACAATTTGTTCATGAGAGGTCTATAAAACCTGCAAAAGTCAGGAGTAGACCTAAAATATGTTTTACATCGTGTATATTCTTAAAAAATAAGTCACGAAATCTACACTCAAAAGACATAAATCAGTGAAAGTTTTCTTAAAAAGATGTCGGTAAATTATGTATATGTTCATGAACTTTTAGTAAGAAATGTCCTTCAACTGACCCAACAAGAGTTCATACAAAACTGCCTTAGTAAGGGTTTAACCTTATTCTAAATAAACTTGATTTTATTTATCAATACTCGATTAAATGGGGCTTAAGATAAACACCAAAATGTCCAAAGTTTGTATTTTTGAAAAGAGAAAGCAATCTTATTCTTTTGAATGGTTTATAAATGGTGAGAAATTAGAAATTGTAGATAGTTTTTATTATTTAGGTGTAAATTTTATTTACACTGGGAATATGAAAAGTGCTGTTAAGGTGCTCTCAAAGCATATAATTGCCCCTTGTCATTATTTACTAGTGTAGATCTTGCTTTCACTTTTTGACTCTACTGCAGTATGGTTCTACCTATGTTAGGGGTACGCCTCGGAGATTTGGGGCATTTATGAATTTAAGTAAATAGATAAACTTCATATAAAATTTTGTAAACATATTCTTGGGGTCCGAACACAATCTTCAAATTTAGCAGTTTTATGTGAATTTGATCGTTTCCCTATATCAGTTTTAATGAAAGAGAGAGCATTGAAATACTGGATAAAAATAATGAGTAACCAACACATGCCTATGTATGAAAATTTCAGAGAGCAATGTTATCCCCAGAACGTAAATTCTTGGTCAAATGAAATATATTAAAAATAACTTGATAGACTATGTTTCAGTGATATATAGTCTAATTTTGGTTTTTGTATTTTAAAACAAAGACTACGCGATCAAAATATCAAAATGCAAATGGGTTGTAAAGTAGAAACTTTTAACACTAAACAATTTAAAGTCAATTTCTGTTTTGAAAAATATAGTATTTTACAATGTAAAAAAAGAGAGACTTTATCTAAATTAAAAAATATCAGCACTAATTTTAAGAGGAGATATTGGACTGAAAGACAAAATCGTATATGCTAAACTTTGTTCATCAAAATCCGTTAAATCTGAGTACCATTTTTTATTATGCTGTAATAAATATTATGACATACGACAAAAATATTTTGCAAATAATGTTTGGCATTCAGTCCAAAAGTTCATTTATATATGATGTCATCAAAACGTAGAACTAGTATTGTAAAAAATGCAAAGTTTTTAAGAAAAGCTTATAAATTGTGAAGTTTAACCCTTGAAAATAATGCTGCTTCGTAGGACTTATTTCCTTTGTGAGTTAAAAATTTTGCTTAATGTTTGATATTTGGTGATTATTTATTATGTAAAGATTAAATGTATAGTTATTTGTGCATCTTTTATGTATACTGTATGTCTTGAACATATGTATAAGTATGTGTAAATGGTCAAAGGCATTTATTATGCCGATTTGCCAATAATTGAAATGAAATGAAAATTTTCTAAATAAATATTAATTTGTATATACACGGTTAATGTTTCAAGTTGTTGTTATACAAAAAGTCAGAACTTGGTTATTCTGTAAGATATATAATATATTTTAGAAAGAATTGTATTCAGACAGGGGAAAAGTACAAGTTTATATATTAACCTTGTCCAGTGTTTGTTACAGTTTCAATATTAAAGGCAGGTCATTATTGACCATAGTTCTACTTTTATTGACAAAAATAACTAAGACTTTTAATATGTTAGAATCCAGCTTACACCGGATTTTCTTTAATCTTGTATTGTATTTATACATGACTTTAAAACAAGCATTTCTCTTCAAGTTGTAACCACTTTGCAACTTTGTGAACGATATTTTTTACAAGAACAAAAGTATCACAGAGATTATGTCATGTATATTATGTAATATAAATGGTATGTATATGTATTTATCATTCGTATTGATTGGTCGTTTAATTGTCTTTTTTTAATCTTCATTTTCTCTTTCTTATACATATCAATTATGATTTAATTTCGTGCATACTTGTACGTTTAAGATTTCATGTTTTTATTTCTATTTTATTACAGTTGATGATTTTCTCTGGCCCCAAGCAGCAAGACACGGACATAAGTAGAGGGAATACCATAATATTATATTATTAGTGTTAAAGAAGGAACGCTGTAGTTAACACACTATCAGTGTGATGATCAATTAGGAAAATAAACTTTAAGTGGTACAATCAGGAAAGACTTTAAGCAGCTGTTGAGGACGATGGATATATACGGTGTAGATCCGAACAACATGAGTTATGTTTTTTCGTTTGAGAAAACGTAACTCTAGGAGCTCTTCTTTGGAATTTCAACAACTATGGCAGATTTCCTTCATATTCCAGCCTATATATATATTTCATTATTCGGCGGTCAGTCTTACTATGGAAGAACAGGCAAGGTTCGGAGCTTCGACTTACCTGCTATGATGGAATGATTGCCTAGCTCTTGTTCAGTAATATTAGCGAACTATAAAGAACAGTAACCGAACTGGTTTTGGTCACTCTCCGATATCACGCGGTTTGAATATTCTATTGTATACAACTCTATGCTCGCCCAGGCTAAGATACTCTATCGTCGGCGCCATGTTGTATCTGTGCAACAAGTAGTGGTTTAGAGATGACATTTTCAATTGTTCTGCGAGGAAACAACCGCTGATATTTCTACACTGGTATCATCATATAACAGTTCTCATATATACATGGTCAAGTTATAATGACCAGATTGCCAATGGGAGATATTTCGTAGTTACAAACTACACGGTACATTCGTTCATGTACAGCTATTATGCTTTACGTGCGATGAAAGTTCAGATACCCAGGGGTGTGAGCATGTTTATAACATGTATGCAGTTGGCACAGATGGTACTAGGTATTGCGATTGTATGTTTTTCTTATATTTCACTTGTGTCCGACCGTCCGTGTGTTACACAATATAAAAATATTGTGTATTGTCTGTTAATGTATTTTAGTTATCTTGTTCTATTCGCTCATTTTTTCTACAAGTCATATATTTCTCCAGTAAGTTAAAACAGAAAAGACAATAATCTCATGCTACATCAAGTTGGGGTTATTTTCTCAATCATCTTGATTATATTCATGATTACATGTTTTAATAATTGTCCAAATTAATTTTAAATCATTTAAATTATCAAAAAAATCTCACATTAGTAAAACATTTTATTTAATTTGAACTTTTAAGGACAAGTCAAACATTAATCGTTTATCAGTTGAACGGACAAGGTCAACAAATCCATTGCATAATGTGGGGTAATACCAACGAAACTTAGTCAATATTGTCCTTAAACAAAGTTTAATCTTTTGTTAACCTTGCTCTAAACTTTATAAGTCCATTAATGTTTCATTTTCCTGTAAAACTTCAATTCAAATTTGTGTATATTAAAAGATAGATTAGTGTACGTTTTTGTTACTTTTTATTTAATTTAAATACTAGTATCTATAAGTACATTATTTGTAATAAAAGCAAAGACTGGTTGATTGATTCAATGATGGTTTTGTGTCGAGTATACATAGATGACAGACAAATTAAATATGCTTTAACTTAATGATTATAATGATGTAACTTGATACTAATTATTAGTATCTCATTATTAGAAACAAAATCAAATATTCAATAGAATTTGTTATTCCACGATCAAGGCGATCATAGCTTTTTATTACATGACCTTGTAAGTGTTTAAAAATTGCTGTTCACAGATTTGACCAAAGTTGCACTTAAAGGTCAACATTTGCTATCTCAATTTGACTGACATTGACCACACTTCTCTCACATTTAATCTAATTCATATTGCCGGGGCTATATCGTAAATCATAGCAAAAAACATTAGTTGTAAATAGCCTACTGTACAGGACAAACATAATTAGTACAGTATATATGTTTATTATTTTAATGGCTTGCCTTATTAGGTCTTAATGTATGATTAAAACGCGTACATTTGAAATGAAACAACATAATCAATAATATACATACACTTTACCTTTATTTCTTATACCCTGAATGCAAGCACAATTGATGATCAATAAATTTCAATCGAAATTACAGGCATCCTTCATTGATATTCGTTAAATTAAAAAACAACACTCATTTTACATGGCTAATCAAACAAGTCGCGCATAAAATTTTTTGGCTTTCCGATCTTATGAAGTTCATTATTCAGCACAAGTCCATGATTAGTTTTACCTTAGTGCACTGTAAGTGTTCGTGTTTTATATCTGAAACCGATACGTGCAAGGTTAAATCTATGATAATGTGCATTTTAATCATGAACAAAGAGTTTGTCCGCTTTGCTTTATCAGTTTTTTTCGTTGATAATATCTAGTTCAATTATTGAACTTGTAGACCAACTGTTTGACTAGATAAGATTTGACATCATTACCTCATATCGAAATTAAATTTGAAACAAATGTAGGTAAATCTATTTGAAACATTAAAATATTTACAGGAAAGGCAAGTATCAGTAGCAAATCACACATACAGCGAGCTTTAACACGTGTTTCTTGTTTAATAGCTATGCCACTAAGTTATTATTTTCAAAGTATAGTAGGTTACATTTTGAAAATTTCAAGTTTAGTTAAGTACATTTAACAAGGATGAATATTTTTTTTCGATTTAATCATTATTTTCAAAGAGATGATAATATAATTGGACACATATCATTTATTTCATTGAGAAACAAAATCAACTCGTCTAAATTACTTTAATTTGGTCAGAACAGATAATACATTGTACATTCCTAAAACAAGACTTTTTAATGCTTCACGTATTTGTTGAAACATGATTTTACTGTAGCAATGAAATCGTATGATCTGGGTTTAATCAGTCAAAACCTTGGTCAACTGGGACGCTATGTTTCAACTTAAATTTTAAGATAGCCCTTATAGAAATGCTCTCACAAAGATAACACAGTTTGCAGGACACTGTCATGTAAATTAAACACATGATCATGATTTTGTGATTTATGTTTGACTTAAGTAAAAGTGAAGAAAATTCCCGAATAAAACGAGAGTACAAAAGATTTTTGAAATAATTTAAATTTCATATCTGCGTAACGAGCACATCATGGATATTTCCCCTCGCGATCCATCAAACATGACGTTTTTCACGTTTGAGAAAAACCACGATGCCCTAGCCTTTGATGGGTTTCTCAGTCGACGTTGGACCGACTCCTTCCTGTATTGTGGACTTTATCTTGTTATTATATTTGGTGGTCAACATGCCATGAAAAAACGCGAGAAATTCGAACTTCGGACGAGCCTGGCTATTTGGAGTGGACTTCTAGCTGTGTTTAGCATTATGGGTTCCATACGTATGATTCCAGAGCTGATTTGGGCGTTAAGAAAGCATGGATTTGAATATTCTTACTGCAATGGATCATTTCTAGATCAGGGAAAAGTTACAAGTTTTTGGGGGTGTTTATTCGCACTATCGAAGGTGGCAGAACTCGGTGATACAGTTTTTATTGTTTGTGAGAAAGCAACAGCTGATATTCCTGCAGCTTGGTACCCCACGTGACAGTGTTACTATATGTATGTACACAGTTACCCGGATCATATCGGCTCGGCTAGATATTTATGGTGATGAATTATTCTGTACATTGCCGTTATGTACTCGCTATTACACACTTCGGCCGCCATAAAGTTCAGATTTCTAAATGGATCAGTATGTTTATAACAATCGTCTACAACTTGTTCAAATGATTTCAGCCCTCGTTATAACTGTATTATCATATAGGAGCTTGTCTGCTGGTAGAGATTGTATGAATAACTATAGAAACATTGGCTGGAGTATGATTATGTACTTTAGTTATCTCCTGCTGTTTGCTAGATTCTTCTACATTAACTATATACAGAGGAAATCAGCAGATCGTGAAAAGAAAGAGTAAAATCTTTAAAAAAAAAAAACATACAGAAAATAAACATTGTAAGAACTGAGTTTTTTCATGTCTTGGTGCAATAACTATAATATAATACTCGATTTTAAAGGCGTGGTCAGGATCATTAAATAGAACGACTGAAACAAGTTTCTCATTATCTTTTAATTTTAAAATGATCTCGAGCTTGATTGTGTGATACTATATTCAAACTTTGATATTACATAAAATGTGTACCTTAAACTAAAATATAATTTGATTATTAGAGGATGTTATGTCACCATTGACTGAAAGGATTCATTGTTAACCATGACACTCCTGGGTTTGTAATCTTTTTGTGAATGAAAGTTATTAACTTAGCAAATTATTATGAGAGTACAACTAATGATATATTTTTGAAGAATGTTTCATTGTATTATTAAAAAAAGAAATGCTTCTTTGAGTGAGTAATAAACCAAATCTAACTTTTCCCCCCAAAATTCTAATAATCCCTTACATAGAATATGAACAGTCATAATAACAATGCTAAAAGAAATGGTAGCTTTTAGTAACATGCATTTCAATCTTTACGATGTACTATTTTAATAAGAGCTGTATCTTTATGAAGAAATAACTTTTATTTTAAAATATGTTTTTTATAAAATTTTATGAAAAGTGTTAATATTGATGTTTATGTACTTTAATACAACGGAATAATGTATGTAAAAATCGAAAATAAATGTTCGCGAACAAAATACGATGCTGCCTCACTTAAGTAGTTCTTTTACTTACTGTGTACCTGCGTCATTCCTCTTGATGAAATGTGTAGTCTCTACCCACAGGTATCACATGTATTCATCTCATTCAGTATTTTGAAGAATTCTCTTTTCAAAATCACACAACATCTTCTTTTTGCAAATAAGCTTCTATACAACTCATGACGTATACTTCAAAAGTATTATGATGGAAACAGGAAATCGGAAATTGACATTCACCCAAAAATTTTTTAAAATTGAATTGAACGTTGAATAAAAAATTATAATAATATTAATAACTATAATCTCCCACCTATCATCTAAACCCATATAAACTTATTAGAAGTTGTGCTTATTTATAAGATCACACAGCAATGTTGTGTTTAAATTTAATTATTTTCTCACTATGCAACATATTATTTCTATATTTAAGAATATCACAGTAGGTTTTTGCGAGCAATCTTATTATATGGATTTTCTGGTGGGCAAATAAATACATATTTGACATTATAATACATCGTGCATATCCAGTAACGCAGGAATGTGCAATTAACAAATAATTTTATTCTAAATCTTGTTTAAAGAAATGAATTAGCGCATACGGCTGCTACGACATTATACTTTAACCAGCATTACATTTTTTTTCAAGAATATGTTTACTTTTGTAGATCATTCGTGAGAAAGTCAACCTGATTACTGTTTTGAATGTGTGTGTGTTTTTGTTTGTTTGTTTTTTGTGTGCTTCGTCAAATAAATATGTACACTTAACACATTTAAAACTTTATTTTTTCATATTCTGTATACCTAAGACATTTGTCAAACTACATGTGTATACTGTGATATACGATAAGTCCTTATGGCAGCAAAGTTTTCTCTGTAGTGTAGCACCAACTTTTACAATTTCTTCCTTTTTTTAAAGCCCAGTTGAAAATTGTTTTATTCATCTAATCTCGCTAAGACAAAGGCCAATGGTTACCCATTGCTTTCCATTGTTCATCAATTATTGGATATCAACATGTTTCACCATATATACAGCAGCATTTGGTGTGTATCTATCCGTGCCTAGGAAACACCTCTGTTATGAATACAACTATAAAATAGGGAACTCCAAATAGAAGCTCCGTATGTTATAACAGGGTACAACACAAGAGTTTCAAGAGTTTATTTCAAAATGCATCAGGGCAATATGCCAATGCGTACACAGTACGTATAACAAATAAGCATAATTAAAATACAGTCAAATGGTCAATATCAATACTTTATAAAACATATATCATTAAGTTACACAGTATTTTTAGCAATCAAAAAGCGTGAACTAATAATAGAATCTACACAAGTATTAACATGTCTCGAATTGTATTACTGGTAAATAAATACTTAGGATAGATACCATCCTACCAACCGGGACAAACTTTTGATTAACTGTCAAGAATAGTGTTTTGAACATCGAAAGCTTTAAATATATACATTGATAAGTTTCTAATTTCTTTTTCATTTTCTGAATTCATCAATGCAACAAAATTTAAGTACATTTGGTCTTTTCCAAAAGTGTTTTTATATTATATTATATATGAAACACTTTTTACATTTTTTATCATCAAAAGGTAAAGCACTAGGTTTATTCCACCTGCCAGTTTCAATCTCAAGTCTATGTGAAGGAAGAAACTCTAAGACGGGACAGTGCAATTCTAAATTTTTCAATATTAATACAGTTTATTAATTTTGAAAACTAAAATCTGAAAATAATATAAAGAAGGAGCTTTAGTTGAGTCATTTAATTCTGAAAACCAGAATGTTATCTACAGTTCCCAATTGTTGTCTAAAACCAGCTTGAGCTTTAATATAGACGCGATATTTTTTGCCCAAGTAATAAATCTATCATTTAGAAATTCCGTAAATAATTTACCAAAGGAACGTAGTTAAGTTATTCTTCTATAGTTACTTGGGTCATTAATGTCACCTTTTTATGATTCATGTATTATCCAGTTTTGTATAAAAATGTAGACCAGGAGCGCGACTTGTACTTTAAGCTATTTGTTTGGATGTAATACAGTAATCCAAATATTTATTCAACGATACACACAGATGGTTGACAGTTTCTAATAGCACACATTCACCACATGTAAATGTAAAATTTGATCTTGACATAGAAGGATTTTTCCAACATTACTTTCATAACATGTAGAGCGAACCAACGCCTCCACAAACCAATTCACACTACATAATACACATAAACTGAAGATTGTCTCATTTCAGCAAACAACAACTGTTACAAGAAATCTGATAGCATTTGTTTACTACTTGTTAATAGCAAAGCTAAGTTATTAATATAGATATGATAAAGCATATCCTTGTCTTACTCCATAATTTACTTGGAACCAATCAGTTGAACTATTTACCCTTACAAGACTGACATAACAATAAAGAGATTTTACAGACTTAAACATTTTTGTGGAAATACTTATTTGTCTAACCATTTCCAAACACATTTCTGTTGACTGAATCAAAAATGATTTTCGAAAATTTATGAAAACACAAAAGGTGGATAATTTACAAATTTTTGCGTGTGTACTACGATAGTACTACGCTTTCTTCCAAATCCATTTTGCTCTTCTATCAAAGTACACCATTACTCGGTCACCCATTTTACATCTTCAATAAGATGCTGGTAAATAAAAAACTATACAATAGGATCGAGCATGAAATACTCTATAAGACAAAATATTGGCGCTTGTCCTTAATTATCCCTGATTTGAATTGAGTTTAAAATATTTTTCCGACAAAGTTAGTATTTTACCCGTGTTCAAATAATCAAGTCAAATGTAGCTGTTCTTTTTAAAAACCTTCCACAGGAATAAGAACAATACATAAGCTTGTTTAACTTAGACTTTTCAATAACTGTAAATCTATTTAAATTTATGCATATATATATCAACCCCTAAGACCATATACGATTTTCGGTACACTACACGATTTGTTTCATAAAAATGATAATATGTTCAATAAGAATTACAAAATCATTCTACAATCCTGTTTGACATCATATGAAGACAGACTCCGAAACCCGTTATCTAATACGAATTGCATTGGTATGCTCTTACAACTTTTCCAATACTCCTCCAAAATGAGTTGTCATTTTTGTCAGCTTCATTCAACAATTTATTTTGCGTATCATACCAATACAATATATTGTTTACAACGTTGGCCCTTTTTATCAAAGTGTTTTCTTAATCAAATATGTATATTCGTGTTTATATTCTATTTCTTACATTCTATTTTTACATCTTAACCATTTTCTCTCTGTCTCATATACTTTTAGTAAATGTCCATACATATCCGAATTCCACAAAAGTTTACTTTTAAATGTTTTAGCATGATTGATAGTGTTAACACCAGCCTGAACCATCATGTATACACTCTTTCAATATCGCCTTGTGTTCTCATATCTTGCTCAATAACAGAAGAGACATAGATAACAGAGATAGGCAACTTCCTAGCCAGTGAAGAAATCACGCGTGCTTGCTAAACTTAAAACTTGTAGCACTTAAGTAAAACTTATTTACAAGATATCAAAATCATTAAAATAATACATTTTCTGAAAGCTTATGCATTTGTCTATGGCTGCAAGTAACAACATTAACAGTTTCCATTTAAATAAATGAAACATCAATTTTTAAAGATAACTACCTATTAATTTTCGTTACAAAGCTATTCATATGACAACATTTTCAATTTTGCCGTGTTTGGCTTTCTTTAGGGATTCTTATTTCTCTTTATTTTTTCGATGTTATGAGAGGCTATTTTCGGTTTAACAGTGTGTACTGTGTATTGAAGTACGTTAAAAAGTATATTCTACGTTAAAAAGTATACTATCATTAAAACCAAATGTGTAAATCGTAACGAATTACGGATATTAACGAAAACCCTTCCGAAAACCCTTCCCTTAACGAAATTAATCAGTATCAGAACAATATAGCCAAACAAAAATATCTTTAAATACAACACATGTTGAGACAATTTCTGTTATATTGAAAATCGTGTTTAAGAGACCTTCCTAAGAGTTCTGTCCCTTGATACAAATTTTTCTCTGTAGTACTTTAGAAATACACTATTTAAAACCTCTCTTTTGGTTTGTTGTTTTGTTTTCTGTTGGAGTGTTACATGTACAGACTCAATCAAACCGAGTCTACAATTTGTTATGTAATTTTGTTGTGATTAATACCTCCTAGGGATCACATTGTTTCCAGATTTTTATACTACACAGCAGGTGTCAAGTGCCGTGTGGCAGCTGTAAAAAGTTGCCCCGTACTTCACTTCAGTGTTGTTATATTTTTTCTGGTTCCTCGGGATCATTGAATGCGGTCAGCACTGTTAAGTTGTTGAGAGATTGAGTACCGTTCAAATGCCAGGTGCTTAATGGATGGCGTCGAGGGATCGTTGCCACTTAATACATAATAATCCCTCATTACAGAACTCAATTACAAACCCGAGTCTCGCGAATTTTCATAATATGTAATTTTGTTGTGATTAAATGCCAGGTCCGAGGGATCAATCTTTGTTTGTCAGATTTTACACTAAAGGTTCTAATTCTTACAAATTCCTCCTTCACTTTTTCAGCTTGTCTGTTTTTATATCGTAAAATGAGACATCACGTGACGCTCACAATCAGTTTAAATACTTAACAAGTCAGTTTAAAGACTTACTAATTTTTATTTTTATAGTCATAAGTTTATTACACTGATCGGCACATAGTCACTACAAGAATAAACAACGTTGCTTCGATATAGTTCAACTTTTTGTCTATCATTTACACTTTTCAAACATAAAAATCAAATCATGTTATAATAACAAAAATAACTTCAAAGTAAATGATAATGTTTATGACTAATGTAAGCGTTCGAATGAAATACAAAGATGAAATATAAAATCCATTTTTGTAAAAGTATCACCAGCGTTCTACGAATTAGAGACTGACGAATAGCATTCGAGTTTTCAGTGCTTTGTGTTGTGGTGTAGGTGGGATATGGCATCGCCTAATTTTACTTCCCTTGGTTGAAACGACAGTAATGCAATAGTAATATGCGTTCTCGATTCCTTTTCTTTATCTATTTAGTATGACGTGTTATGCACCAAGAGTATTAAAGATATCATACGGTGACGGTCAACATTATACATGTAACCTGTAAAATGTATAAAACTAACAATAGGCATGCATTTTTCATACATGAATCAGCTGCGGTTTATATATTGAATGATATTGTCTACATGAAAGAAATATTTCGGCATCACATTTTGGGCAAAATATTTCTTTTTACTTTGTTTCAGAAAAGTAATTCATCTAACAGTCCTCTAACATTGTTGTATTCGTTTTGCAATTCCTGTACTTTCGTATAAATAAGTTGACTTGCTTTGGATTCATTTCCATTTTCGAGCAAATCAGCAACGATACCCATTATGTCAAGAGGAATGCTTACAAGAACAAGAACTGGACCGGCGATTTTTGCGACTTTATTCACTTTACCAAAAATATTAGCGGCTTTTGTCGCAATCTCTGTTGCCTTTGCAGTGCCAGCTAGTTTGAGAACCGCATTTACTTCCTTGGTAATTGTAAGTCCAAGTTTTGCAGCTATTTCCAAAAGATCAGCAGTATTACTTGAAATTGATGCCAGTGTTCTTAATGTTTCAGCGGCTGCTTGAAACCTTTCTTTAGCTCGTTGATCTTTTTTTATTACCTCTGATGCAGTTTTCATGAGACCAGATTCTTTGATATTTTTTATAACCGTAACACCAGCAGAAACGGCAGCACTTGTTCCACTTAAAACAGCCATCCCTGCAGCTACAGGTGCACTTGCTCCTGCGGTTAGTGGTGTAGCAACTAAACAAACGGCGGTAGTAATGCCAGCACCAAGAGACACCACCTTTGTGGCCAGATTTGCATGTCTGGCATTCTTAACAGCTACATCAATTTCAGATTTTATTTTCTTCAAGATTGTTATAGTCACCCCTCGTGCTTCGAGGAATTGCAGAATGTCTGTCAGTACTGGGTTTGTCTTTAGTACTGATTCCATCTTTTATCTGCAAAATTCGAAAAGAAAGATTTATTAATTTCTAATTGGAGGAAATGAGCGCTTATTATATTCACTCGAAAAATGCAGATTACAGTGATTTGTTTAAGAAAAAATATATCCCCAACGGTGATTTTATCATTAAATAAAATCATTCAATCTGGTTAAAATCAGCTCTTAATAACGCTCTGCTTATAGATCTGACCGTGGCCATATACGAAATTATTTCTGATGACTATTCACACAGCCAATCATTGGCGAGCTTTCATAATTTTGAAAGCGATGTGGTTTCTAATTTTAACCCTGGGAAAACCAATACTGAGGAGGGGAGTTTCACGATTTCGAGAACAATCATGGGGTTATCCATATATGCGACAGGTAAACTAGCAAAACAATCTTGCCCCAAAACAGATTGTGTTGTGGCCTATACACAGTCTTAAGGTGATTTGAATCTTTGAAATCAGTTCGAGTCCCTTGGGCAATGCCAAGCATCTTAAAGTTGCTTATAAGGGCAGATGGGTGTCAAAAGCGGTGTTGAAAATTGAATTTCATCTCAGATCAGTTACTGTAGTAGGAACAGTTCTTAGAAAAAAAGTCACATATAGCTTTTTCACGAGACCGACATTTTCAGTTGAAACCATATATGTCATACTTTATTCGCTCTAGTAAGCAAAGATTCTCATTCGCATTTTTTTTTTCATTTCTTTTCGCAAACTTCAGAATCTCAAATTTTCAGTATTTTCCGGAATCTTTTGATAAAAATAATTAAATCGTCTTGTATCCTGAGAAGAATCTTTTGTTATCAACAAACAAGTAACAATTTTACTTATTTACTGACTTTACACTAAGTTTTGCACCTTGGTTCCGATTTGTTTACATATCGCGCTTTAATTGCTTTCATTATTATTGTACACCTTCATGTTAAATGACGCTTGTCTTTTTCTTTTTACAGCATGTATGTATATTTTTCAAGAGTAATATTTAAATGAATTATTGCTTACCGTAACCAAACTTTCTGAAATCACTTTCTTTCAATGTCCTGACTCGAAGTTTTCCAACTACAATCTTGTAAGTATTTTTTTCTATATTATTTTGGGAAAAACTATAACTAATTTCTGATTTATCGTTTTTACTCATATTAAAAGTACATTGTCAACATATCCTTCTTTATATTCACTCTTCATACATAAGTTTTGACTTCAACTGACAGTTGGGTTTCTTAACTTTAAAACAAAATAGTTTTAAATTACCTTTTGATACAGATCCGGAATCTTTGATAACTCTTTAAATGGCTCTGCAAATGTTCCTCGTAAAGTTATATTCAGTATCTCATATTCTCCCTTTTTTAGTGTTATTTCTGATAAACAATCCCAATATTTAAGTCTATAAGCAACCTTCAACAACTCTATTATTAAGCAACCTTCAACAACTCTATTATGTAATTTTTTGTCCTGTGACATGTTATGCAACACTACGTAAATATTTTTAGTTTTAGTTTTCAAAGTTGTTAAATTCTATATTATTTTCCAAAGATCGATAGTTGTATTATGATATCCAATTACCTTAAACCAATATTTCAACTCTGGTTACGTCATTCAAATCATGACTAATAAGCATGAGACATAAATACAATTTGGCATAAATTCGTTAATTGTAGGGCCGAGAACGAATGAGATTTCTATCTATATGTCAGTGTTCATATCATATAATACATAATTACTGAGAGCGTCTTGGTTGACATACTACATTCATAAAGCTCACGTAATAAAGTTGATCTGTTGACTGAATCGAATACTTACCTAAAGTCAATGAATGCGCAAAATGTATTTTGTTTTCCATGTATCAATTATATTTGATAATGGTCTACAGTACTACGTTTTTAGCGGAAACCATTTTGCTCTTCATCAATTAGATCATTACTTTCAGTCCACTTTACAATACGTTCATTTAAATCATTACTATACATAGTAGAATACTTAGGGTCTTTTGGGTCTTTAGAGCCAGATTTAGAAATACGATTTATAATATTCTTTGACCATACGAATGGTACCTGGTCAGTCTCAAAACATATGAATCCATCCGTATGAACATCTAGGCCGTCCGTGACTTCAACCACTTGACTCTCACCGCTATGAGTTCTTTCGTGTGAGGAAGCTATCCAGCTGGCTAAAGGAACGCCGGTTGTTCTACTCGGGTGCCCGTCTGTGCCTGAAATAATGCATGGATGGGTACCTCAGGTCTCCCTCCACTTGTAAAACTGGAACGTCGCCATATGACCTATACTGTGTCGGTGCGACGAATAATCCAATCAATTCTAATCAAATGAACATCTGTTGATGTTTTCTAATTCCAAAATTTACAACTACGCCCATGAAAAGACTAAGTTAAACTGAGCCCGCAACCTTTCAATTTTGCACTTTTGGGCGTCCCTTGAAAACTTTTTTTTTAATTTAACATGATTTATATACATGTACATTATAATAGTAAAGAAATAAACATCAATATAATCATGCGAACGCACAATCATTTTATCAATATCTATTGCCATCATCATTTATATACATGTATCATGTGATTGTTGTCTTGATGAATATCATATTAATGATATTGTTACGTAGGGGTCAGTTATAAAACGAAGCACTAAGCGTCGTATTTCAATAATTAAAACGGTATGTACTTTTGAACTAAAGATTACACATTATATAAGTACTCTTCATTTACAAATCGCCATTTACACATTCTATTTTTTATTATACGTTTTTGAAACAAGATACAGTCCTCTATAGTTATTAATTACTTGCTGTTATTCAATCATAGTGAACCGACATATTTGCTATAATATCTCAAGTCTGAAATGTAAACATTGAAAACGCTATAATCAATTGATGTATTGAATTAAAATATAAATGAAATACAATTAACACCAAACATGCTTAGATAGACAATACACTCGCTGCATTTTCAATGAAATTAACAAAAATATTGCTTTTAAAGATACGTTACACAATTCAGACTTTACATGTATGCAGATATAAAAGTTTTAACTGTAGTGCATGATTTTAATGATTTAATGCATCAATTCACATTATAAGATAATTTAATTATTAGCATACAGATGTGGTCAGATGTGGTCTTCACGTCGTCGCCCTATTCTAAAAATGGTGTATCTACAATTTCCTCTTTTTTGGGAAAAAGGGGTTAAAGGTTCAAGACTTTGTAACTTTTGTTTAATAACTCCTATCAGTGTGGACTTCTGGATTGGTATTATTTATGTCAACATGTGATGAAAGCACTTTGTTATATACCTTTATAATTTGCAGTAATTGAAAAAATTAAAAAAAATATTTGGAGATAGACCAAAAATGTTTATTTTTAGATAAAAAAATTACTCTAAAAATGAGTTTGCGGAGATATGACAAAGTAAGGCTAAAATTGTAAATTCTTTTTGAGTTAGCATTTTTTAAGAGTAATAATTTTACTATAGAATATAAGTCTATTTTTATATTCTAAAGAACATTTTCAGCTAGAGTGGTTGAACCGCTGACACTGAATCACTTTATCTTTGAAAATTACTTTGTCAAAGTGTAAATTCATTCACGTGATCTGCATCTTGGGCCTTTTTCGATAATGACAATATAAAAGTGTGCCATAAAAAAAAGAAAAACAAGCATTTCACAAAAGTTTTAATCAATGAACTTGCTAAAACAAACTGACATATTTTGTACCATTATGAAAAATGAAATTATTGTAACAATCTCTAATATTGTGATTAAATGAATACATATCCAAATTATATTACCAAAAACTTTTTTTTAATTCACACAATTAAAGTCAATACCACATGCATTTATACCGCCTCTCAAAGTCTCAAGTATTGTTTGTGGTTTAATATCAGCGTATGAAAAAATATCTTAACAATCTTTCAAGATTGCAAAATCGTCGTTTTCAAGATTTTACATCCAGTGAATTTTGCGATCTCCCATTTTGGTGTTTGTCGAACAACGTAGATACTGGACATTCTAATAATATCGTCCATGAACAGGCTAAATCAAACCGAGCCGGCAACATTTTAGATCATGCCGTATTGTGCTTTAAGAATTCTGCTATTATCTAATAAATATGTAATCATTGGTGACCCGGAGAACACTGAAACACGCATGCAAACTTAAAATCTATGTTTAGACAAGACAGTGGTATTCCGATCCTATTGGAATGTTAAATATCTAAATCTTTTGTGAATATCTTAAGACTTGAAACAATGATTTATCTGAAACTGATGGCAACTCAAAATTTCCCCACAGACTTGATGTTGTTGATATAAAATTCCATAGTTTTGTGGAAGTTCTGCTAACTGCAGTCACAAGTTCTAAGAGACAACATTTCTGTAAGGACAACGTCTGAAAATATATGTAAGTCTGACCGGAAATTGACAAAATAATAGCATTAACAATTAAACAACAACAATGTTCGATACTCCAAATAGTTCATAAGAATATCCGAATATGGTTATCCGAAATTATGTGATTGTCAAACTTTGAGAAATATATATAAAAGAATCATAATACGATGAAACAAATACTAATGCAAAATATAAATTCACTTATAAAACGTATAAAAGCTAAAATATATTACTTACATTCTTCAGAAATCATTTTTTAAACTGTTACTTTCCTAGTTAGATGGCTGATTTAGATACGATTATTGTTGTTATCACTGGAGTTAGAACAATTATATTGTCAGGCCCCTTCAGGTCACATGACATATATTTTTCAACTTGATTGGCTGGCACGAAAGATTAGCCTAAAAGTGTTACATGTGTTGGAGATACGACGAAAAAAGGCTAACAGCAAAGCTTTCCATTGGACATAGAACAAAATACAGACGCTATATCTATTAAAGTATGACGCAAATCTTTACATGTTTTGTTTTGGAGATAGAACAAACTAATACTAAAATAAATGTGCAGTTATCTCATTTTTGGTAAAAATGGAGTTAGGACATTTTTAGGAAAAGGCGACGACGTTGACTATGTTACAATATATTATCATTATTTTATCACTACAAAAGCAAATGTTAATGTTGCTGTTACATATATCCTTCTGCTCAAATGTCCATCATTTGTACAGCGAAATTAAATAAATGTCAATATGATATTAAATAAATTCAAATTGAATATACTTTATATCAATTTTTTGATATAATGGGATAAGAAAAACAAACTGCCATCACTTTTTGGAAAAAAAAACTTTTTAAGATGAAGTTCAGATATTTAAAACAGCCTTTATTTGACCGTATTCGCTTCTCACAGTCTTATATCGTTTTGCAATTCCTGTATATTCTTTTGAATTTGTTTACTTGCTTCAGATATCTTTCCTCTTTCGAGCATATCAGCAATGATGCCCATTATGTCAAGAGGAATGCTTACAAAAAGAAGAACTGGACCGGCGATTTTTGCGACTTTCGTCACTTTATCTAAAACATTTGCGTCCTTTGTCGCAATCGCTGCAGCCTTTTGCTGTTCCAGCTAGTTTGAGAACTGCATTTACTTCCTTGGTAGTTATTACTCCGATCTGTGCAGCTTTTTCTAAAAATTGAATGGTATTGTTAAAATTTGATGCTAGTGCTCTAATAGTTTTAGCGGCTGCTTGCAATCTTTCTTTAGCTCGTTGATCTTTTTTTATTACTTCAGATGCAGTTTTCATGAGATCAGATTCATTGAAATGTTTAACAAGTGAAAGGCCAGCAGAAGCGGCCGCGCTTGTTCCACATAAAATAGCCATTCCTGCGGCTACAGGTGCACTTGCTCCTGCGTGTAAATGGTGTTGCAATTGTACATACAGCAGAAGTAATGCCAGCACAAAGAGATACCACCTTTGTGACCAGATTTGCATGTCTGGCATTCTTATCGACTTCATCAATTTCAGATTTTATTTTCTTTAAGGTAGTTAAGGTCTCTTCTCTAACTCCGAGGAATTGTGAAATTTCTGACAGTATTGAATCCATCTTTTATCTGAAAAAGTAATAAATAGCTTTATTAGCAAAAACATTAGAAAATATTCATTTCGAAATATTGAGTAAGCTCGCAACGTCAGATGATTTAGTAATTGGAGTTTTAGGAGAGAACCAACAATACGCCTGACATTTATAGTTTTCTTAACAGTTTGGTTTAAAATACGAGGAGTTATCCAGAAGCAGTGGAACACATCTAATTAATTTCTTATTAATCGTGGTAAACTACCGGAAATTCACAAACATTTATGTATTCCACATCGATATTTAATAATCAAATAATTTCGAAATGACATACAGAAGTTACAGTAACCAAATTAACGTGCTCGTAAGGGATGTGCCCGACACAAAATTTCAAACAACGTTTTTGTTTTTCTACTAATATAATTTCAAAATCATTCTATACTATAGAAAATGTGTATTAATTAAAGACGTAACACCATTTGCGGTTGTACAAGTTACTCAACTTGTTTTACGTGTATTCAGTTTTGATTGTGAGCAGTAAAACGATACTACGAAAAAATG